TCCCATATTGTTTTATCTCAAATCAGTTTTGTTGATGTTTAAGAAACGAGGCGTTGCCCAGTTTGTTAGATGGACGTAAAGATGAGTCTTTTTACCGGGCCTGTAAGTGCCAGATGCATCAGTGAATTTAATTTGCAGATGCACTAGCAACTATTATCACTTATGCCAGATATATATTTGGGGGATCTGGTTTTATTTCTATTGGTGGGATTAGCTCTTAATGGGCGGCTGGGAGACCACAACATTACAATTGGGGCTGTTCCCGACCAATGAAATTATCTTTTGTCGACGCTAACGCTCAATGAGTGATTAATGTAAGATCAGTTAATTTAATCGACAGATCCGCACAACTGATTTTCTCCGCAAAGTATTACACAAAACAACCAGTTGTGTTTTCTAGAGACGTGCTCATAAGTTTCTTGGAAATAACTGTTTCTCGATAAAAACAATTAAATATATTGACTATGATCAAAATGTAAAGGGTGCAGCCCTAATATCTATCAGCCGTAGCTTTGTACCGCTAGTTTGGACGTATCCGTCAACTACGTGTTACTTGATTCTCATGAGCTAAAGAAGTTTCATTTATGTGGACGTTTAGCTCACTGCTTGAGAGGAACTTGAGTGACTGACATGTCCTGCATTATCTGGTGTTTCCAATTTAGCGACCCCGCTATAACCACTTGTCCCAGTTTTGTTTATTTTAACACTGGTGTTTTACCCGTTAATGTCACAATTAAATGTTTGTAAAGCAGACTTGCCATTTTAAAAACAGACAATTTTCATGGACAAAATATAGGTACCAATTTTTTCTGATATCTTTTCAGTGTACCACATTCACCCCTAATGTACCCCAGCGGCAATTAGCAATGTGTTTGCAAGGGATCTTCGTGCGTCGGTGGCTATTTAGTTCAGGTGGTTACTTGGCACTCTATGTTTATCCCATAATGTTATCTCTGCATGAGTTTGTTAATTAGGAGCTTAATTTAGCTGCTGGCATATGTTAACATTGGCTTAGGCTGCCATTGTTAAGCCTCTGCTGGCTGCTAAGTCTCATGTGACGGCACAGGAAGGCTTTTTGATGCAACCCTAACATAACATTAAGACAAGGCAGTAACACGGCTCGGAATACACCGACGTGCTGTGTTCCTTATATTACTTGGGAGAAGTGGAGCCTGCCGCTGTCTGCATTGCCTTTTTACAGCCACAGGTGTAGGCCAACCCTGCACAATACGCGTGTGCATGTGCGTCACAAACTCTGTGTTTAGAAACGTAGGCGACCAGCCAGCCCCAGTTCTTGGAAAACCCAAGGAAGGAATTAAATTTGCTTTCGTGAGCTGTGTTGGGAATCACTGCCAATATCTATATCAACGGAAATACAATTTTCACTGAAGGTTTTTAAGACCCTGAAAGGAGGGCATTGTTTAATTGTCATTAATTATTCAATGTATTGATCAAGGTTCACTCTCCTCATCAATTTCCCGATATTGCTTTTTATTCATATTCACAGTGGGCCACTGCCTCCGTTTTGAGTTTCACAGAAATCCATGCCGGGGTTTTAAGTTATGCAAAGCTTATCCCAAATAGCTGGCATCAGGAGAGAAAAGTAAGGTGAAGAAAAGGTAGTTGTTTATTATGAACAGATGACATGAGCTTGCGGCTCACAGAAGTATGAGATGATGAAGCTGATTGATCTGCAAAGATCGGACGGAGCAGGGTGTGTCCCAGACTCGCAGACAGTGAAAGAGACAGAGACACTGAGTCAAATCTGAAAGTCACCGGTCTGTAGCAGCTGATGCATTTGTAGAAACAGAAGCTTGTCGTCCGTAGGAACGGTGCTCAAGAACCATTTAAAATAATTTATTTTTATGAGCAATAAACATCTGTATTTCACACTTTTCATTGTCTTTTAATTGATTGTTTATCTGAGGCGTATACATCTGATCCCACTCTGTCGGTGACGTGCCGGCATCTCTGCTGCTCCGGTCGGTGGGCCGGCAGCTCTTGACGAGGGTTGAAAGAGGAGACCTGGGCCGAACACAAAGCCTTCGGCACGGAGGATGTAAGCAGAGCCGACTCTAATCAACCTGCATGCCCACCACAAAGGGAACCCTAACTACGGTTACCCACTAGCTGCAGCAACACGTGGTGCTGCAGCTAGTAACCTAAAACGCTAATAGATGTTGGGGTATGCGCACATACATGTGCACGAGGGTACACTCGCACATACGGTAAATGCAAAACAACACAGGAAGGCACAGAGGCAGCCACCACAGGCACAGAGGAACAAACACACATTCATACACCACCCACACACACTCCGACCCGTGCACGTACACACATTCACATGGAGAGCGGTCGACTGAGAGATATTCGCATCACAACTAACGGGTGAGCCTGTCAGCTCTCTGGGAGCTATGATTCCTGTTCTCCCTCAGTACTACGCTGGGCTACGACGTGGGGCTTTGTGTCACGGCCTGGTCACAGGACACACTTTGAGTGCAGTGAGAGAGTATGGGGAGGAGGGGAGGGACAAAGACTCCCCCAAGGCGTTGTGCCGTCACCCGTGGGTCCGGCCACGACAACACAGCGGTCTTTCTGGAGTGTCACCCACAGAGATGCGCTTCAGTGAAGCATCTCCCAGCGAGGCGGAGCTATTATTACCTTAAGTCCAGCAAAGCCTCTTACAGATCTTTATTTAACCAGATTGTCTGTCTGATGTATGGATACTTGAGGAGGCTTTAAGGAACAGTGCAGAGGCCTTGCAACCAGGGCCAGTGAGGAAACAAACAACTACTACTCTTCTCTGACCTCTTGTCTTAAGGTGACTGGTGTTTGGCACTGACCACCCACCCCTTTCCTCACAGTGGTGGGATTTAAGGAGCAGGCACATCTTACCTCCGGGAGAAGAGAGGGGCAGGTAATGTGGGCGCCCCCCTGTCTGATCGGTACATGTGCAACACGCCCACCGACTTGAAGAAGAAAAATGATCAAATAGAAAATAGTTTTGTCTTTGCACTCACCAAATAAGAATTTACTGCACTCGTTACAATCACAAAGTCAAAGACTTCCCCACACCGACATGTGTTTCAAACTGTGTATTTGACCCAAAAGTAGTTATGACCCGGTACTATATGATGACAGATGCTTTTAATAGAGCGAATGAATGCAATGTGTTTGTGTTTTCCTTCCATGACAATTTGTTTCAAACTGATTATAATGCTCAATTAAATTTTTATTGAAACTATATACATATTCTTTACAAAGAGGCCGGAACTCTATTCATGTTATTTTCCAAATCAGGCGACCACAGTTTTTGCTCTCAACGTCGTCCCTCCGCTGCTCCCGGTCAGCCCGTCAGAGGATCCGGTGCTGGTCTTGTGACAGGCGGGTCGAGCCGCTCTAAATAAAGCCTGCTGCTGCTGCCGCTGCTGTTGGAGAGTGAGGAGGAGACACGTACAGGAGCTCGAATGAACGCACTACCGAGCTGTGGCCTATTTATCTTACTGCGCTTGAGAGATGAAATATTTTGAATGTAAACAAATGGCTCCTATTTTGAGGCTGGTAGATACATTTAGGGAATATGCAGAGGATCTTGATTTCACAATACTCTCTTGCGCAGGCCTCACTGTGGTTTCAGCTTAGCTAATCATTCAATGAATGCTCAATCTTTTTGGCCTGTATTTGTCCCTCTGTCTTTTTGCAATTTCTAGATATTTAGAAGAGATTAATCATCGCTCTCTTTTTTTCTTTAGAAAGCAGAAGTTGAATTTATCATAGCTTAAACACTGAACGCAGGACATGACGGGAAGCTTGATGTTAAATAATTCTTTTAAATTTTTAAATGGGTTATATGTTGTTGTAAAAACGTGTGTGTGTGTGTGTAATCACACATACACATTTTAATTTCCTAATGCAATTCTAATGTGAAAATGTCTCTGCAAGTGCAATGAAGTTCCACATGTCAAACATTGGGTTACTCCCACTGGGAGCAGTAGAGCGTATCCAGTTTAGATTTATCAATAACCTCTAACAGACTAGTGCCAATGCGTACAGTGGCCTCTTGTCTATTTGTTTGTGTGTGTGTGTTGACCTTTGGTATAAATAGCCTGTCCGCGCTGGCTGTGATGACAGCGGACAGCACGCACCGCTGTGTGAATTTGTTTCCTGAGTGGTGCCGTTCATTGGTTATCCCTCTTGGAACAATGCCTGTATAACTGACCGCTACCCAGCAACACTCTGGCCTCTAATTTCCTGAAACTGGGCTCAATTGCAAGCGCAAACCCAATGGCTCAATAGCATATACACTAGGTCTGTATTCAAATATTTTGATGGAATTTTGGGCTCACAGGTAGTCCTAGTGAGAACGGACACATTACTCGTGGGTGGAATGTAGCATCATTATAATGACCTATTACAGCTTCTCTGCTTATCGCTTTTAAAACAGAGATTTCACACCACAGAGTTGAGCTTTAGCCCTACAAATATACAGCAACCTACACAGTAATACACAAATATGCTTAAATAGGCTTTCGTCTTCTTTGCTGCTTTTGAGTTGGCTTTGGATTGAAGAGAAAACCAAAGCTACAGTCTCGGATGAAACTTGCCTCGTTATTATGTTTCTACAGTTGGTTCCTGGCTGCCATACTTTGGAGTGATTTAAACTGGAGTGGGGATTAAAGCGATTTTAGTGCTTTTGTGTGATGAAAACACAACCTTAGCTGTGCCACTGCAACGCAAGGTAGCTTTCCTGGGAATTTGGCTTCAGTAGCTGTGACATAACAGTGATTAACCGTGATTAAACTCTGAAAACTATTTTTATTGAATTCAAAGTATGTAAAACCAACATAAGCTTTTAATCGACTTGATCTGGATGTTGCGGCTCAGAGTAATTTGCATTTTGCTTTGTCATTAACTCGATGAAGTCAAACTAAACATTAAGGGGGGAAAAAATAACGTCCAGAATTCTCTTTCTTAATCTTCCCTTTGTTTTCTTCTCCTAGATTTGGAGCCTGATGACAACACGTCGTTTTACATCTTAAATGTGGGCCAGCCCCAGTCTATGGTCACCAACCACCAGTCTATCGGCCTGCCTCGTCATGGCATGCAGTCCCACTCCCAGATCATCAACACCTCCCAGCGCCATCACTCCCACAAACCAGGCTCCGAGCTTCCCAGCTACGGGGCCCATGACCCCAAGTACGGCGGCTCCCCTCTGCTGCCCTCTGCTCCCTTGGAAGCGCCAAAGGCCTTTGAGTGCCCAAGTATCCAGATCACCTCCATCTCCCCCAGCTGCCAGCAGGAGATGGGCGGCAACGACGACGATCTGAGACCCAATGGTCCCGACGGGGACTACCACTGCGATAGGCCCCTGTCCAGAGATCACCTTTACTTGCCCCTGGACCACTCGTACCGGGACTCTTCGCTCAGCCCAAGTCCGTGCAGCAGCCTCTCGTCCAGGAGCTGGTTCTCTGACGCCTCCTCCTGCGAGTCGTTCTCACACGTCTACGACGACGTGGACTCGGAGCTCAACGAAGCCGCGGCCCGCTTCACCCTGGGCTCCCCTCTCACCTCCCCCGGCTGTGTCTCCCCGCAAACCGGCGGCGGGGTTCTGGAGGAGCAGCCCCACTGGCAGCACCAGCACCCCGCCTTTGTGCACTCCATTAGCCTGTCGCCTCGCCAGTCCCCCTGTCACTCGCCGCGCACCAGCGTCACTGACGAAAACTGGCTGAGCCCGCGGCCCCCTTCCAGGCCGTCCTCGCGTCCCACCTCACCCTGCGGCAAGAGGCGGCACTCCAGCGCCGACATCTGCTTCCCCGGCTCGTTGTCGCCTCACCACTCGCCCACGGCCACGCCGGGACCTTCACCGCGGGGCAGCGTGACAGAGGACACCTGGGCGGGCAGTCCTTCGGTGTCACCCTTCCAGTGTTGCCCATCCGAGGCGGACATCCCGTCCAAGACAAGGAAGACCTCACAAGACAGAACGTCCATGCAGACTGGGAAAGGGGAGCTGGGGCCACACGACCAAGGAAATATGTCTCCTAATCTGGACTCTCCTTCAGACGACGGCTTGCACAGCCTGAAAAAAGATGGGCCCGGGGAACAGTTTCTTTCAGTGCCCTCTCACTTTTCGTGGAATAAACCCAAACCTGGTCATACACCAATATTCAGGTAATTGTCTGGAGAAAATAACAGTTGAAAGTTTTAACCATTTGTTTCTAAATCCAGCTCCATCTGATAGATGCAGTCACCATATCAGGTTCAATCAAAGTGCTCATGCAGATGGGGAGTGATACAATGGAGAGGAAGTGATATGAAAATTCAAATTTTGTTTAAATGTCAGTGAGGGCTTTCTCAACTGGTTTTCTGTTGCAATCCATTTGTTCTTTTCTACTTCCTGTTTGTATTCGAGAAAGACTTAGCGACAGTAGTGTCAGCAGTCCTAGTTTAGAGTAGATTCTTGATCCATTAGATCCTGTAAAAGTGTAAAAAGTAATTACTCCGTCAAGGCTAAACAATACACCTCAGTCGTAAATGTTCTTACAGTGTTGTCAGGTGTAATAAACATCGGCAACCCTTTGAGATGTTGGCGAGAATTGAAATCATTGCTGGGCAATAAATTGATATCAAACAGCATGTCAGGTATAAAAGATCTGTTGATCAATGTTCAGTAACTTTGAGCTTTGTATCAGCAGTATAAATCTGTCTCCAAAACCTTGTATAGCAATACATGTTTATTGGAGTCCAGAGGGGAACACAATCTCCACATTTATAGAGCGATGGGCGCTTTCCAAACGCTATCTCTGGGTTTCTCTGGAGAGGAGTCGGCTGTCTGTTCTCCAATGTGTGCAGCAGATGAAGACATGGCTTTGTTTGTGTGCACTGGCTCCTAGCGCTGTAAATCAGCACAGGGCACATATGGCAAGGGGGCCACGGCGCGCACACGCACACACACACACACACACACACACACACACACACACACACACACACACACACACACACACACACACACACACACACACACACACACAGATACATACACAAGCACATGCATAGACATAACACAAATGCTTTCTCACATCGACCTAAAACATTCTCCAGACAATAACAGGCCAGGGTAGCGGGGTCAGCCTCACGATGAGTCACTATTCGGTATTTGTCCCCTTGCCCTTGTGAAATGTCCTGAGGCCATGCCTGCGTACAATGTTCGCGTTGCTGTACAGATGGAGGCTTGTTGGGTTTGTCTGATGCATATGTACATATTTAGATTGAATATCTATTGCAAAATAATTATTTCGAAGGTTTCATCACTTCATATGTGACCGTATACTAATTGATCGGATGGAGAGGATGCTAGTAGGCCAATGTGGGCCAATGCAGACTATACAGAAGATGAGGCTGGGAGCCTGAGACATTTGAGAAAGGTTACGCTCCGTGTCGGGACCGAGCACACCGCTTCGCCTCTACGCCGCCACAAAGCTCATATTTCCTGTGTCCTCCTCTGCTCCTGTTACCGTAGCAGCCATGCAAACCCACACTTCCTGGGTGGTTATGTCACGGCCGTTGGGAGAGAAAACACAAGGATTAGGATGCCTCTATTGCACTCGAGCTGGAGCTGTTGGCAGTAGGGAACCTTAGTTTGAAAATCTAACCTAAAAGGATTTAGCGGATCATTCATTCATCTTCAGTCAGTAGTTAACCAGTAGTTAACCGTACAGTGTTTATAAAGTGGGATATGTTGGTGGCATTTGTATACATACTGTGTGATTTGCTCATATTCTTTATGTAAAGACATTTACCTACGTTGTTTTTTAATCAACTTTTTCCATGTCATTCGTGTCACATCTATAAAATGTAGCTCCGTTTGATTCTTTTTTTTAACCACAAGGCCGCATTTGGCTGCTCGGAACGTGAAAGAAAAATGGCCTTTCATTCCAAAATGCAGTCTTTCCTTTGGATTGGCTTCCAGTCCGTAGGGTGGTTCATGGGGCGAAATGGCGCCGCTGAAAGCCTGACTCGCACGTCTCCAGTCCGGTCTTGATTAGATCGCTCCGCTTGAAGCCAGCTCTTGACGGGTGTTTGGAAAGGGAAGAATTAAAGTGATCAGCCATGGCTAAAACCTTACAATCTTTCCCCAAAGAATTCTCCGTACTGTCGAAGATCCATCATGCGATTTTGGACGTGTGTGCATGCTCGGAGTCTGTAATGAAAGCGTATGCCACCGTGTGACAGGCTGCACAAAGAGCCCACAGTGGAGAGCAGTGCAGGTCCTCTTCTTCTTTTTTAGCCCACGAGGAAGCATTTACTCGCAGCTGCAGTCGACTCACTGACTCGGGCCTAACATACATCAAAATAGAGACCGACGCGCACAGACGCAGTTTGATTTACGGCTGTGTATGTTGCTGTGCTCATAGAAAACAATGTCACTTTGTAACTGCTGCCAGACAAACACCTGGATGACACACATACAGTCTAACTGGTGCTGCCTCTGTGAACATGAATGACTAATGTGTACACAGTCGGGACGCAACAAAGGCCGACAATGTGGCTTTGACTAGAATTTAAATACCTCTTCAAGTTAAACTGTAGATTTCAGTACAGATATTGTAGATGAGAATATAACACTTGTGTAAAGAGAAGTAAATGCTTAATTTGAATGAATAACAAAAGCAGAGTAAACCATTAATCTGAAAGAAAAAAAATCACAATCATAACCCAAACTGTGGATGAACCATTTTATGGACATTTTTAAATACACATTAAGAACAGATTACCTCCAGTTTTGGGTGTTTTGAAATGCCGCCAAATACAACCGAACAACAAGAGATACAAAAACATTTGGAACAGGCTACTGCCTGGTGGTTAGTTATGGTTGATAGCAGTGTTTGCTAAATGTTTTGGAGATAAACTCTCAAATGGAGAGACCTGCTTTCTCTGTGGAGAACGCCATTGAGTGTTTTACTTTGAGCAGCTGTTCAAATACGACCTACACGGATGAAAAAAAGAGGCAGGCCGAAAAAACATGCAATACCATGCATTACACATAAAAATATACACTTGTATAACACACACACACACACACACACATAGACAAGACAGACATCTACTCAGTGTGTGACACACACTCTCATCCTACCACCCGTTCACTGACCCACACAGTCACAAAGAAAACCCCCTTTGAGGATGATTCACCCGTAACGTCTTAACCTGACTTATAACTAGTGTTATGTTTAAGAACAGGATTAATGCATGTGGGCATTCCAGTGAGTAATCATCTGAAGGGGCAAAGATAACTAACTGCCTGCACACCTGCCTCAGACCATGAAAGGGAACATATTGTTTTGGCTGTTGGATGTTTTCAGACAGCCTTAACGTAGAAAGAGCGGCATCTACGTCACGTAGATGAACACGCATACAGAACAATTTTAAATATGCTTTCTGTGAAGGCGTGAGAGCTTTGATTTTGATTTAGGGGAATTTTTACTCTTAGCGGTATTCAAATTTTCTTTCTTTGTCATTTATTCTTAAAGGCCAGGTCAGTTTGTACCAGTTAATACAACCACGCACCTTTCTACTTAGTGGGATTCTTTCATAAAGTGTATGTTTTAATCATATCATGCCCTAACTTACTCTCCCTCCGTGTGTGTGTGTGTGTGTGTGTGTGTGTGTGTGTGTGTGTGTGTGGGTATATCTCCTATCAGGACATCTTCACTGCCTCCACTGGATTGGCCTCTTCCAAGCCAGTTTGGCCAGTACGACCTGAAGATAGAGGTACAACCCAAAGCCCACCACCGAGCGCACTACGAGACCGAGGGCAGCCGAGGAGCTGTCAAAGCGTCGTCGGGAGGACACCCCATCGTCAAGGTAACAAACCCTTTGGCCACTCACACGTAAATATGACTAAAATCTCTTTTGCACAATATTAACTTTGGGTTTCTGCCACATAAAAACACTATGTGAGCAGCGCCGTCTCCGCAATACGGAGGATTACATTTCTTTCTGAGGTCAGGATTGATTTAAAGCCAACAGCTTCCCGAGAGATTGAAATGGTTTTCCAGTTTGGGGAATTGCCCTCCTCAACCGTTGCAGAACTTGGCCACCCACCTGTCACCCATCGATGGCTGTTACTAAGACCAATGCTGCACCCTATGGAGAACTGGCGCTGCGGGATGATAGGTTACTGGTCAGCCTGTCAGCCTGTTTGTGGCAGGGAGACGAGGTGCAGTCGGCCTGGAGGGGGGGGAATACATAGAGAGATAGAGAGAGACCCCGTTCCCATTAATATTTCAAGAAGACCGTGACAAGCTTCTTTTGTGTGTAGAAAAAGGCCTCAGAGACAAAGCATGACCGTATTGTGGAGGCCAACCATGGCTGACTTGAGACTGCGCGTTTGGTCAGCTGATCGATCGGGCCAATAGGAGTGCCGCATGCCGTCAAATATCCTCTGCACACCTGTCCCCGCTGCATCTACTCTACTCGCTAAAAGAGGCCTCTACATACATTTCATACAAAGTTTTGTCTAAAAAAAAAGAACCTTGCTTTAACTGTCATGTCCCGCTGCTATTTACTGTTATTAAGTAATGTCCATGGCTTTGTCATCGGTCCCACGGTAAGACATGCAAAGTGCTCTGGAAACACAGCTTAGTTTGTGGATGATTATTATGATTTATAATTGTTTTGTTGTTATTAGTTTTGTGCGTTGTCATTGTTTGGGACTACAGATGGGAAGGTTTGTCCTTCGGCTAACTTAGTCACCACTCATTATGCCCCATATAAACCAGGTTATACAACTTTTTCTTTTAAACGGCAACAATCACACAGCGGTGGATGCAATATTTCCCAAAAGAACCACGTTTCCCAAATTACTGCCATTTGTTGCTTTAGAAACAGCCCACGTCCTCATGCATTCAGTCATGCAGGCTCCCTCCAGGCAATCATTAACCATTTCAACCTCAGTGAGACCAAGATTCTATCCTGCCATATGTGACGATGCATAATTTAGCTGTCAAATGTTTTCAACTGAGCGTTTGCCTCGCCTGCCCTCATTCATCATCCCCAGGGGAAATGGTTTGTTGTTTTAGTGGAGGATTTGGTTTTATTGTAGTGCGAGGAAAGCACACCCTGGTTTGTTAAATGTATATGACATTGTATGATTCATTTTAGCGACTTAGTCGTTTTTGTCGCCATAAATCTTGCCAAAGATTAGAATCTATCGCAACTCCAATAATAGCTAATCGTTCTTTAGGTCAAGAATGAAAAAGAGGTGATCAGCCACAAGGCGAGATAAGTGTACTTCTACTCATACTTTACAAATCACGTTTTTCTTTTGTTGAATTGCCATACAATACAATACTTGCACAGTGGAGTTGCAAAAAGTGAAAGAGTTCCCTCTGTTCCTTCTCTGCTGCAAGAACTGCCACTACAAGGACTGAAAGTGAAAATGAAATGTTTTTCTGCTGAAAGGCACGTCTCATGACCACATGAACAAACTGGACAGAGCGGGAGAAGCACACGGCTGTGGAGCCCTGCGAGAGGAAATATATGGCTTGATGACAAGCCATATATAAGCCCCACACACACACACACAAAGTACCAGCTCACTTCATCAGCTTATTCATGCTTCAGCTTATTCATGCTTCAAATTTAAACTATGTATGTATGTATGTATGTATATGTATATATATATATATATATATATATATATATATATATAATCCTGACGTGAGCTCTACAAAGGGGTCTCCTCAGAGGCTTGTTTGCCGCTTATTTTCTGCGGCTGCACTTCTTAACAGCTCCTACATCCTGTGTCTGGGGCCCGTAACCACAGTTAGAAGATGACTACTCACTTGAGCCACTAAGTTCTCTCCAGACACGCTGACAATCAGCATGAAGTGAACAGGTCTCCGCTGCGTGATAGTATCAGCGCTGGTCCAACCGGTCTCACAGGCAGTAAGTATTTACTAAACACCCCGTCCTCTATTGTTGGTCTCTTTAGCCTTGTGATGCATTATGCATCACAACTACCCTATTGAAAGGTCATTTCCTACCCCTATGATGTCATTATGGTTGTTGCCCCCCCCCCACACACACACACTGCTATGTATTGGTTGGCGTCATTAGAACAACACTATTAGACATGCTGGGTCGAAGGTCGGAGCTATTGCAACACAAAAACGGATAAAAACTTGTTAACATATCTGAAGCTGTTTGAAGAAGACTTTTGAGTTAGAATTTCTTCTCCATGTGGTGTTGATCCTATTTTATTTTGGCCTTTTGATCTGTATTTGTTATCAAGGCAGAATCTGTGTCTTTTGTTTGACTTTGGATATATTTGAATTCATCATTTGGCCTTTTTAAAATATGCAAAGTTGGATTTCTTGGCACAGGCATTTGTGTTGTGGTGCAATAGCCTACAAGTAGACATGTATGGCAGGTGGAGCCCTCAGTAACAGTTTGCATTCAGTTGTCTGTGCACCTTCACATTTCACAGCTGTTTAGAGAGATTGAGGGCACTTCGATGACACGGATCCGGGTTTCCCTCCTGCCCTTACTGAAGGTGCTCTGCTAGCTTTTGTCAAAGTTTAGACCATCGCTGCCAAAATCAACTCTTTGCTGTTACTGTTGCATTGCATCCATGAGCTGCTGGTCAAAGAAAGCAGCTACGTGGGCCCCTTGTTTCTGCCTGCAGACAGTTCCTGCATTTGATTGATCTAAGTAGACCTCTTTCAGATGGCCTTTGGATGCGGTCTTGAGAGGTCTGTATACTCTACATTGACATTCACACTAATCTCCAATACGATCACACAGCGGAGACCAGTTTGACTGCTTTAAATACTGATGCACCGAGGCATTATCTGTACCTGAAAAGGCATTGGAAAACTTATATAAGGCCCGGCTTTGTGTACAAACTCAAGGATGTTTCTTTCCTGCCATGTTGGCACCACTGCCTGGTTTCCTATTGCCTTTTATCGCTCAACTCTCTTTAGGTGGGAGTCCCAACAGGTGTCTCAGCGATCAGATTGTGGGCAAAGGACTACTGACTTTGTGACTTGAAGCTCTGTTTTTGGCTTTGAGTTCTGAAATTGGATTCCTGTTCAAATTAAAATGACTTTTTTTACATTTTTGAACACACGCATTATGACATTGTTCAATTGTCTTAAAAAAAAGTCATATAGGATCATAAAGGTTGCTTATCTTCCAACCTCCGTATCAAGGCAGTCAGTTACTTCTCACCCAGTGGCTTGAATCCTCATGGAAAACCTGTGAATACTTTAGCGTGTCTGTGTCAAATTTAATGGCTCAGTTGAGAAGCCGTTTCGGGGTCAGTGACTTCTAACTTGTGGTTTTGGGCCCCAGACACAGGATATAGGAGCTGTTAATAAGTGTACACACATAAAATAAGCAGCTAACGAACCACTGAGGAGACCGCTTTGAAGACCTCAGATTTATATAGATTTAGTTTAAAGGATTTATTGTTATGCAGTATGCCTTTTAAATCCTACGTCACATTAACTTGCACTAAGATGAGTCTGCTGAGTGTTGACAGTGTGTCGGCTAATACCAATAAGACCGATTCCAGGGTGTCAAGCAGCAGCTGATCAGGGGACTAGAGACAGATGGCTGTCATAAAGCCTTGACTAGCATAGCAGCCTGCTGCTGTTCTGTCTGTATGTACACTAGCCAGACAAACAAAGCCCACAAATCACGGCCGTGTTTACATTGAATTGTTTTGACGCACGTGATTGGTAGCTTGGGGTTCTGTGAGAAATCCTGCGTATTCCTGCGCAAAGACCGAAGCTCAGGGCTGATGATACTTTAACAACATCACGTGATAATGACGCTCAATTGTTACCAACATATAGAAAGTTATTTGTAAAAGATTTTACATTTTTGTATTTATAATAATATTATAATATGATTAACCTCCTGATTTTTTAGTAAGTAATTGTCTGTTGCCTGTGGCTGGCTGACTACTTGTTTTTAGCCATTCCTCTGGGACTAGCTGCAGACCATAATCGGTACAGCTGTTGCTAGGAGACATCTAAGTCCAAAGCCTCTCTGGCTTGCTGAGGTATCCTTGTGCGCATTTAAACAGCTTAATTGAGTGCTGACTGCCCCCACACAAATATAAGGAGCCCCTCTGGTATTACCTGCTGCTACACATTGAGGCAGGCAGACACAACAGAAAAGGGATGTCACATACGTGCAGCACACAAACAACTCTGTCAGTAGAGTGACAGCCATAATGAGGAGACACACAAGCACACACACACACACACACACACACAACAATCCAATGGGGTTTGCACTGTATGAACTGGCTTTTTTGATGTGTCTATTGCTGCTTTGCACTGGAAGTGTATTTCATATAAACATGTTGAAAGCTTGGCTCTCATTTGTTGTAGTCAGGCTTAGAATGGAGAGAGGGAGAGAGGGAGGGCGAGAGAGGGCGAGAGAGGGCAAGAGAGGGAGAGAGAGACTAGCAATGCCATATACAGCCCTCATGCAGTATACAGTAAACGCTTCTCTCACACAGTGTGTGTGTGTGTGTGTGTGTGTGTGTGTGTGTGTGTGTGTGTGCGCACATATGCGTGTGCATGTATTGACCTTGTTTAAATAAACAGTCAACTGCCCCCCCCCCCGGCTCTCTCTGCCCTCCCCAGTGTGCTGGGCAAACAGCGTGGGTCGCGCGCGTTTGTGTCCATAGATCCCAGGTCGAGGTGCCACAGTGCGACTGGACGGAAACCACTGGTGACCTTGACCACCACTGCGCTTGTTTTTTCATCTGTCGCGCACACGTGCTAGCTTGTCTCTCACACATCCAAAGCTAAAAGTTAGTGCCCTTACACTCACACATCCTCTCACACTCACCATCCAACACAGGCTTCGGGGCTGTAGTTTACACCAGTGTGATTGTACGTAGCTGCTGGGTCATTACACACGTGCGCACACACGCGCACACACACACTCCTGCATACGCAGAGAGGGTCTCACCATGGCAACAGTGGAGCAACACAGGGAAACAACTTGGCAGAGTCAGGCGCTCGCTGTGAGAAAGTGTCGAGTTACAGCAGAGGGCCGAGGTGGGTGAGAGAAGAGGACAGGGACGGAGAGGAGAGTGACAAAGGGAAAAGCAGTAGGAAGAGATGGAAAAAGCAAGGTCAGACTAGGTAGGGTAAAGGGAGGAAAGAGGAAAGCAAGATGAAAAATAAATACAAGAGGGGGGGCTTAAATGAGGAAAAGCGGAGAATAGAAAATGGTCTGGTAGGAGGGATGCTATCAGGTAGCTGTAGCTTAAACACTGTGCTCCGCTGCAGGTGCTGTGCTCCCGCTTAGCTCTGCTCCCAAAAGTCTTAAAGAGCCAAGATCCGCTCTTATTACTCTATTTGGATAATGTTTAAAGTGTGCATGGTTGCCTGTTTGTGTGTGTACACGGTAATGGGGGATATCTCTTCCCCCCCCTCCCCATATTACTGGATCAGTGAAACAGATGAAGGCCAAAAATAGGCGGCGACTTTATTTAGTGGGAGCTGAGTATGTAACCGTATCCAGTGGTTTTATTTTAGGTGAGGGAATTCATCCTAAATTGGATCCACGGTCACAGAAGCTGCAATCGGACCATAAGTCAGTTACAGGCTTCAGCGAGCTCTGCGCCGTGTGCCCGGCTTTAATGTCAGTGTGGTTTCATCTAAAGACCGATCTGTATCAGGCCTCTGTGACTGACCAGCTGGGCTGAACTCTGGACAGGCAAAAAGGTGAGGAGTTAAACGTGCAGAGACCACCCTCCTATGGTATTTGACACTCAAGCATAGATTTGGGGGAGGGGGGGCTCAGGAATGCGAAACGAGTCAAGGGTGTTTGCCATGTGCATTTCACAGCCAAGATGCCCCCCTCCGCCAGGACAATGGTACCATCCATGTGTGTTTGTTTTCATATCCCACTGTTTGCTGTGTGTAAGCTTTACCCATTTTTTGAACTGACGGCAAATAGGCCCCTGAAATGTGCTCGGGCTGCTATTTGAGCCATCATTTGCCACAACCACTGGTGTGTGTGTGTTGAATGTAGGGTTTGAGAGCTTATGACGTTGATTTAAAAAAATTGGGAGAGACTGAGTTCAAGGAGTATTATGGTGTCGGGAAAAACTGGTACTAGCAGCATCCCACCTGCTCCCAAATGTTTCTTTTCCAGTTCAGCTTCCAGCCCTCGTGTCCCCGCACCATGTGTTAAGCCCTTGTTGCTAAAGCAAATGTTATTCGTTCGGCCAGTCGCGTGTTGTAAGGCTTAAATGTCTTTAGTTATTGTTGACTGAATCAGTTTTGCCACTTTGTACAATTTACTTTTGAAGGCCTCTCTACTTGTATTTTTACAATTATCTAAATGAAACAAATTGAAAGGAATCGAGCGAAGAACAAGCAGAAATCAGTCTGTGGCCGTGTCTGGATTAAAGCGTCTCTGTGGCGTCTCTGCTGAGAGCTAACGGCACCGTTGCTTCACTGCGGCTGCTGAAGTGAGCTTTTTCTTTTCTCTCCTCTGATCAGAGTTTCCTGGTTGATTATTTTTATCTGGAAAGAACTCCTGGTCTGCTAAGTGTATTTTTGTCAACACGCTTGCTCCACACCAGCTCCCGCACGAGCAGGGAGAGTAAAAGAGGACACACACACACACACACAGAGAGACACACACACACACACAGGGAGAGAGAGAGTCAGAGATGGAGGGGGAAACGCTTGGCTTGTACTCCCGAAAAGTCCTCACCATCAAGTGGTTGCTCTTGGTTGTTGTGAAATTTCATAGGATTGTTTGGATTATCATTCATATTCCCTGAAACACTGTAAACACGTTTAAGGGTTTCACAAAGACAAATGCTTTAGGTGACCAAAATAATTCTACATTTGAATATTTGAGTATTTCTCTTTACAGGACTTTCCACCTTTTGTTTCCTCATCATGCATTTAATACTCGGACTGCTTTCTTTGCAGGGCTTGTATAAGTATGAGTGGGGCTTTGGCAGTCAAGGAAGACTGGTAACACTCGCTACTGCTTTTTCACAGTATATTTAAGTACTTTTAAAAAAGTATTTTCATTCCCAGTTTTGTCTTGCTTTTGAAAGTGTTGTAGCATAAACCCGTCAACGCTTTCTGTTCTTTTGTGCCCTTCTTTCCTCTCTAACGGATACATTCCTCCAGACACTGTTAACTTATTTTATGCCGTCTGGAACACACATGGTGCTGTGAATAAACATGCCCCTGATTTATTGACATACGCACACACATGCACACAGCCCAACGCACACACACACACACACTCTACGTGATAACTTCCACAGTGTGCAGACAAAGATCAAAAAACAAACAACCCAACCGGCAAGACGGTTGATTCCTGTGAGTCGGTGTCTCTTTGAATCCAGAATGAAGGTGTCATTTAGAGCCATGCATCCATTCAGCCATGCATCCATTCAGACAGATTGTTACATGCAGGATTTGTCCTTTCATGTGGCTCTTAAGATCTAATGTGGTTTCCAAAGATGGACCCATTACAGGTTGTTATACGGGGCTCATGCTGTTGGTGCAACTTCGGAATACATTTCACGTGAGTTCAGATTCCAGTTTGCCAAGTGTGAAATCCCCTCCCTGTGCTGCTGCGCTCGGCTGGAGTTTAGAATTTACATTTCTGAAACATGTGCTGTTTGCGTACGTTTGTGTGTTCTTTGTGGGACGAGGGGGGACGTCCTGATCTGGTCATCATCTTGTCAGGGATTTCATTCTGCCCCCTTGCAGCACCATCTTCACTACCCTAACCAGCTATAACGATGCTCTGTACAGAATTTTGTTGAACCAGAAGTTTGAAAGATAATTTGAAACACTTGATAAAAGGTTGATTAATGTTCCTTTTTTTTCATAGGATACACTTAACCATTGTGCTTTAACTAACTTGATGTTAAGTATAAACAACAAACTCCCTTTAATGAGCTCGGTAGCTCAACTCTCTTAAGATACAAGGTTTTTATTCAGCTCAACAGAGAAGCATTATTGAGATTTAAGTATCTGCCTCTGAAGGCTCGTCCTCTCACAACCAGCTGTAAACACATGACATTTCTAGTTTTTCCACAGCTCAGTTGAACATAGGGGCTCCGTACCTGAACTTCTTATACCAGGGGGGATGGTTAAGAAAGACCGGAAGATACGATCATAAACACAGTTCCTATGAACACCAATTCCACCATTGATTCCAGTACACCTTCCTGGAAATATGTTGCATTTAATAATCCCGCCGCAAACCCGTAGAGTTCAATAACCAGGTTCAGAGAAAGTCAATATTGTGAAACCAAGCACACATTTAGTCGCTTGTACTTTTGTTTTTCCAAGGCCTGATTTTGACCAATTTAATCCTTTTTTTTAATTTTAGCTGCTTTTGGAACAGCACATGACAAATCCCGAGCTCCCAAACATTGACACAGCGGTGTGTGACGCAAACCTGCTGGGAGGAAAGGGTCCGTGGCCAGATGTGGTGGGGTTGAGGCTTGGCAGTTTCTGGGTTGAAAACGGCAATGAATGGCCTGGTTCTTTTCTGTTCAACTCAACGGGCTGCCCTCCATCCCAGCTGAAGGTGTGGGTTGTGATGGGAATATGTGCGTGTTGGAGGGAGGAAAGAGGTGGGGGGGGGTCTGGCCTGCCAAGTACAACATTATAACAGTGGTGGGATTGTGTGGCCTGTGTTTGTCTTTTCCTCTGAGGAGGAAAGGTTGCGCTCTCCCTTCCGTCTTGCTCTTGTCTCTGACTGACACGCAGCCCTTTTCCTGCATCCGACGGTAAACTGTGGGGCGGGGGGGGCAGCACTCAGGGACCAACGGAGGGGGCCGCTGCAGGTAGCTACGGCATCGTTTTTAATGCTCAAGACCTCCCAGAATTACATAAAGATTGTGTGAATTACGCTTTTTGTATAATTTAACATCCATTTGTTATTAACTGACATAATGAATTTTGTACACAAGCTTTTTGTTCTTCTAATAATCTCTTAAAGCCAACTCATGATGCAGCACAACTTTTTTTTGGCCTTCAAATCAAATGAGCAGAACTAGTTCAAGCCCCTGGTAAGGTTTATTTGGGTGGGCGTGTAAAGGAAAAAAAAACATAAGTCTATTAGTTAAAAGCATCAGCGGCGAACTGGTTGGAGGCCAAAGCGCCAGATGAATCTCCAGTCGTCCTGCCAGAAATATGCAACCAGACATTTAGATCCCCTCCAGAGAGGCCGGAAATGAAGCGAGTATCCCTTTGTTCACACCTCTCCTCTGGACCCCAAGAACTCACATCTGCTTTTGTTTGTGTTTTTTTTTTTTTCCCCTACTCCCTCTGTTGTGTCTCAGCTCGATGGCTACAGTGAGAAGCCCATCAACCTGCAGATGTTCATCGGAACAGCAGACGACCGCTACTTGAGGCCTCACGCCTTCTACCAGGTGCACCGGATTACCGGGAAAACCGTCGCCACAGCCAGCCAAGAAATCGTTGTCTCCAGCACTAAAGTTCTCGAAATTCCTCTCCTGCCTGAAAACAACATGTCCGCCGGGTAAGTCTGAAGCGCTTCACGGTTATATTGCTGTTATGAGCTTACCACCGTGAAGGAAGCCCCGTCATGGGGAAAAAAGGAGCATGTTTATGATCAATAGGGGTGTTACGTCTTCCAAAGAGAGATTTTAATAGATTTTCCAAATTTAAACAATCTTTTCCATGGAGCAGAGACGCAATCTTTATTCAAATATTTAAGATTATAAATCATGAGAATGATTATAATAAGTTCTGTTTTCATTTAATTTAGGAAGGCATCCGGTAGCTGTAATAAATCATATTCAGACACTTTGTTAGCTCTCATTGCCGTTACCCTGCTGGGCTCGGGAGGAGGGCGGGGGGGTTTTATTCCTATGCTTTCACCACTTAAGCATGTCGTAGAGATTGCCATCCGAGTGGTGCCGTATGGGGCCAACTATCTTTCCCTGTACCTTGCAGTATCGACTGTGCTGGCATCCTTAAGCTGCGAAACTCAGACATCGAGCTGCGCAAAGGGGAGACGGATATTGGGAGGAAGAACACGCGGGTCCGCGTGGTGTTCAGAGTGCACATCCCCCAACCCAACGGGAAGGTGCTGTCGCTGCAGGCGGCCTCTATTCCTGTGGAGTGCTGTAAGTGTCCGAAACGTGTTCATTCAGAAAACTAGCCACTCGCAAACACACACACACACACCTTTCCACTCACTTCTTTATTAGCATGTTTTTAGTCTGGCGATATGATATGTTGTTTTAATCTACTGTTTGCTCTCAGTGAAAGTGTTTTCAGATAAGAATGTCTGATAAATGTTAAAAACATGCTTGGTTTTTCCTGTTAATATTTCCTTTTTGGCTGACGCTGTGTGATACTACTGTTATATGAGTCATAAAGTGCTCCTGTTAATGTCTGCTTATATTTTAGTACTTTGATAGTACCGCCACAAAAACTAACCTGCTGCGTGAATGAACACAGCTCAGCAAATGATCATCCTCCTTTTCTCCTCGACCCTTGCTGCGTCCCTCCCAGCCCAGCGCTCGGCTCAGGAGCTGCCCCAGGTTGACAAAACCAGCCTGACCAGCTGTCTGGTCAGCGGGGGGGAAGAGATGGTCATCACCGGCTCCAACTTCTTCCCAGAGTCCAAGGTGATCTTCCTGGAGAAAGGCCCTGGTAAGTGTTGCATCTGCGCTGCAGCTTACCCTTGAAACACCTCTGCAGAAACAATGTGTCCTCTTTTAAGTGTGTAAAAAAAAAAATATATATATATATATATATATATATATGTTGCAGAGATGTGCAGACGTTATCAAGGCTTTATAGTAGTCATGACTGATACACGTCTGCAGGGATATAATGAAAAACATGTGTATCATTATCTTCGCCCCGACGAGTCTCCTTTTTACCACAGGGCATTCATTTGAATGCAGAACAGATTTTTGTCTGCTTGTAATACTGCCAATCAAGCAGGCATGAGGCAGTCATCGGCACGTATCGTGTGTAGTGAGTCAAAAAGGAAAAAGGGCCACTGGTTGGATCGCCTTCCACACCTAGTTTACGTACTCAGACAAGCTCCTCAATTGGCTTATGAGACAAAGAACATAATAATGCATGCAACAGATGGTTTGTACTAAATTGAGCATTTGTGACTGATTCCTCAGCTAAATTTCCTAGTCCTTCTGTTTCATTCAAGTAATTTCTATTTCTCTGCCTTCTCTCCTTTTCACTTCTGTGCATCACCCAGTAATGGAAACACAGAGATTCCGAGGGATGGAAATTTTAAATGGGTAACATTTGTCGAGCCAGTCCCTGCCTGTCTGAGGTACCTTTGTGATGCAGAGAAACAGAATCAAGTTCACACATGGCAGAAAGTGGAGTGGAGTTGTTTTTTGTCAGTGGGAGCCATTCTCTGGGATAAAACCACGCGGAGGAATGTCTGTAGCTCTTTCATGTGAAGCATGGCATAGAAAGTAGCCGTAGTGAGTCTTTACAGCACAGCAGCAAGTGGAAAACTTAGAGAGGTGCATCTTGGGTAGTGAGGAAAGCTGGGCCCCGTGCTGCAGACTGGGAAAGAATATTAAAGGAGGGGATTGGTTTGTGTAAATGATCCCCCTCATCATGACTAATCCAACTGATTCAGTGTAACAAGGCACTGATTGGTGTAAGTACAGGGATGAACGAAAAGAAAGAAAGAGAGGCAGTGACAGACATTTTTCCACCATCATCATAATTGAAAGACCACAGCGGATTCACGAGGACCTGGAGCCACTGACCTATTGTGGCGGCTACAAAGAGATTATTGAATGGTACAAAAAGCGACTTTACTATTCACTGAAACAGAGTTACTCGCATTTGTTTGTACGAGTTCCTCTTTATGAGCAAATCAATTTCAAACCGTAATGCAATACTTTATCTGATGTGCATAGCATGTGATTAATTTCAAGTATATAAAATTCACAAGGATGAAGACTTTAAAGGCAATAGACCGCCTCTCATGAATAGTGACTAGTAAAGTCACCAGTATGTGCACTCTGTACCGCCGTTGGCCACTACTTAAACAGTAATCACCGTTCTTTTACCCTCTGAATGGGGCGCGAAGAGTTGTCTCGCTGATCCGAGTCATTGTCTCACTGAGGTATGAGGCTCCTGTTGGTGCCTGCTGTCTGACGGAGCATGTGGGGCCCTTTTTTCCCTGCCTTTTGAATGTCAACAAGCCGCACTGCAATAATGCACTGCTGTCAGTCACAAAGAAATTCAAGGTCCTCTGCTCGTTGTCAAACGAAAAAGAGAAAGAAACCTGTCATCATCACAATAGAGAGTGCGTCTTAGCGGTGATGAATGGCTGGTGTGCGAGTGGATTTCTGCGACTACAGGTTGCTGTTGGGGTGAGATTAGCACGGGTGTGTCACCGGCTTTAACTACAGCAGAGTGTGGGTTTGGGTAGGACGCCTAATAGCTTAAATGTTACCAGGCTTACAGTTGAGTGCTTTTTATAATCTACTCACATCGACCAGGCCCCTCTACAGACATGTAAAGATGCCTGAATCCTTTGTCTTTTGAGCTGCAAGTATCCTCTGCACTTGTCAGAGGATACTGTGGAGAGTACTGAGTCGGGTTTTATTCTACTCAACGCTGAGAGGACTGTGATTTCTTCCAACCACACGGCAATCCTCTCAGTGTTTTTAACCCCAACTGCTTCCATCCAAGCGGCTGCCCCTAAGATGACTGGCCAAATAATTAGATCCCTCATAGGAAAAAACTGGGAAAAAAATGGAAAGGATGTTTTCTAGCCAGAAACCTGGAAGTGTGTGGAGGCCTTTTTAAATAGATGCCATTATTCCACTGCTCTCTCCATAATTTTACCAGACAAGACAAACCGCTGGATATTTGGACATTTAATTACTATTTAATAGCTGCAAGGATTTTCTCCGTTCGGCTTCTAGTTGTTTAAAAACAACATCATTTGGTAGTCTCTCGGTTCCCCGGAACTAATTGGAATTGTGTGCTTTACCGAAGCCTCGCTTGGTTCTTAAGCCCCGTTTGTTTGACAAGAAAACAGAGAAAGGGAGCTACTCTGAATAAGGGAATTTGAAAAATAGCACACTATGAGTGACACGTAGTGTAAATTATAAAACTGTAGCCATCTGGGACCCTGTGTGGCCTCTGTTTAGAACTGCCTTTGTCTCAGTCATTCCTTTTCATTTTCACTCAATTTGTTGTGTTTGTGCCTATTAGCAGTGTCATTTGAAGTGGCTTGTAAGATGACAGAAGGTCTTGTGTTTGTCCAAAAGCTGTTGAGGATACAATGGTGATGTATGCTGCGTTTGTATTCCGCCCACTCAGTCCTCAAACTCTTTCTACGTTGAAAAGCCAGAAATCAGCTGCCTGTTTTTAACCAGACCTGCACTCAAGAACTGTGACGTCATTCCTGCGTCAATTGTGGTGCTTTGCTTGTGATTTTGATGTTTAATGTTCAATCTAAAGGAACAGAGTTGAGAGTGACAGGAAGGATAAAAGTATTTCCTGAAGCACTTAGAGTAAACGTTTCAACGTAGTACTATTTTCTGCTATATATGTTTCTGCCCTCTTTATGGCAGGGGGATTATCATTGGTTTATGCGTTTACATTTTTATTCTTTACTATTCCTCCTAGATGGACGACCACAATGGGAAGTTGAAGCAAAAATAATGCATGCGAAAACTCAAGGAGTAAGTTGTCACTAATTCTTTCTAAGTATTTAAAGATCAAAAGACATGTCTGTTGGACATATCACATGTTATTATGCAAATGGTATTTGTATTTTGTTGCCAATGACTGTGTGTTAATAATGTTAAATGTGTTTTTGTAGTCGTGCATCGTGGTGGAGGTCCCTCCCTACCACAGTAAGTCCGTGGGCTCGGCGGTGCAGGTGCAGTTCTATGTCTGCAATGGCAAGCGGAAAAGGAGCCAATCCCAACGCTTCACTTACCTTTCAGGTGAGATGAGAGGTTGTCATGACTTTTCGAAAGAATCTTTGGCCATCAATAACATGCTGTTTTTAGGTGTTAGTGTTATTTTAAGTATTCGAGATCAATAATAACTTGCAACTCATTTTACAGACATTTACACAAAGAGATACTCTCTAGCTTTACTTTGCATTCCTTTGGGTGCGATGCTTCCTGCTGTAGTTAATCTCCATGGTAACAAAAATATTTTGACTGACAGCAGCGACAGTTGTAGCGTCTTCCTCATGTTGCACACTACACGGGGGTTTCACCAACCCCTTTTCTCTCTTTCTCTCTCCAAAGAAAGCCTCGCCGTGGTTTACAGGGGGCTTTTCCACTAACTATAACATTAACACCTGCAAACTTGCTTATTTTGTGCAGCCTACTCCGACTCCCGAGCCAACCTTTTTTTTTCGTACTTTCTGTACTTGTTTAGGGTTTTTTGCTCTCCAAGAAACGTTTACTAGATATAGATTTTTTGTTGTTATTTTGATACAAGTATTTTATCAATTAGGAAACTCGGCACTCATGGTATCTGGAAAGTTTCCTTAGTGTTTTTAATTAAAGTCACATTCCGGCTATTTGATATTTGTTTGTTATTGTGTTATTTTCCTCTTGACGCCAGTCAAACCGAAAACAGCGTTGGCGGAATATAATGAAATGTGAGCATTTTGTACAACATATCCGAACCCGAGTCTTACCACAACAGTGTGTAGCTTACGTGTGCGTGTGTGTGCACGTATATAAGCGACCTTGCCCCTCCACACACCCAGCCTTTCTGTTTGCAAGCACGCCCACTCGGCACTGGCAGTTCCTGTTTTCGGCGTTGACAGCCAATCGGAGCGCGGCAGAGTAACTCTGCTCCGTCAGTCAAGCTGGGATGCTGAAACCACTAGAGTCACCACGGACACCACCTGCTTTATTGTGGCAAACAGAAAAAAGCGTCGCCGTGGGCTGGGCTGCAGAACCCCTGGCCCCTTTTGTGGATGCCTTCTGAGAAAATTGGAGAACAAAATGTCTTAGAATAAGTAGTTCTTTGTTGAACTTCACACATTGTATGTATGCTCAATTCAGCTATTAAATTAACATTGGGTAAACATGAAAACAACCCGGACATGTTTTAATATTCGTTATGATACCCTTCTCGTATCCTTGATATACCTCTGGCTCAATTTCTTTCAACAGAATTGACTTTACTTAAATACTGTTTGGTCTTTGGGTGCTCCCTTCCCTCTGAGTCCCAGAGGCATGGTGGGGTGAGTGGAGGGCAGGGGCACTGAACTCGTTTTGCTGTCAGTCTGATCTGGGCCTCGGGGCATTCGGCTTCTCTTCCCACACAACATTTTCACATGATGGCACCCGGACTGACAACATATGCTGTCCCTCTAATTCAGAGCTGGATAAAAATAAAACTCTCCGTCACAAGCCACCAGATTGGGAAATGGGTTACCGATTGGCGTAGCAGTGCTCCGAGCTTTCAAAGTGAAAGGGAATGGCCTCATTTACCATCGAGATGTCTCTATTTTTTTGTTTTGTTTGTCATCTGGAAGGAGAGCCATCTCACAAATCACACATTTCAGACACTACGGTCAGGGCTTCTAGATTCTTGTGATCTTCAGGTTTTACAGAAACATATTTTAACTTCAAAACCACAGATTCAGGGATGTACTGGGGAGTTGAGGGAATGATGAAAAGCTTGAAAAAACAACCTTTTTTTGCTGATTGAAGTCACTGAACTTCTGTACCTGAATCATATACAGCCGTGTCACTTTATGTTTTGTTTTTTTCCTTCTCTCCTCAGTATTTTATTGATTATTGATGGGTTTTTTTTCTTCTCTTTCATCCTTCCTGTCTTTCCTCTTCCGTGCCGTCTCTCTTACCCCTTCTCTATGTGCAAACCTCTCTCTTTGTAGTCATGGTGAAGCAGGAACATAGAGAAGAGCTGGACCTTTCTGCAGTGCCCCCTATGTCCATGCCCCTGGCACACGCTGCCAGCCTGGTGCGTCCCCAGCTGCCTTCTCCCGAGCAGTGCCACCCATCGGACAACCTTCTGTCCAGCTCCCCTCGCGGCCTGGCCACCGCCACCGGACCTGGCCTGCTACCCTTGCAGGCCCCCTGCTCCTCCCTGGGCTCTCCATCTTTCCAGCACCTGCCTCACCTCCAGGGTCACAGCTTGCACCACCCCCCTGCAGACTGCCACATGACGTTCCACCCGAGCCCGGCCCCTGATCCTCTCCCTGCTCCTCCCCGGCCCTCCTACCCGTCTATGCAGCACAGTCACAGCCACGGCCTCCCCTTCAACGGCCAGGGCAGCTTTCCTCCTCAGGGCTACGAGAGGATGCCCTTTCAGCACAGCCCCAGTGCAGTGTCACACCCAATAAGCATGGGAATGGTGTACCCGTCCCCCCCTTGCTCCTCACCATCCGCTCCGTCCTCTTCAACCACCAACCCCGTTGCCGGGTCCCCCCAGAGCCAGCAGCCCCTGCTCGCCCCCTCATCTCCGCTCCTGCACTCATCCTATCACTATCACTGCTCCCCAAGTCCCACCCGGGTGCCGTCCCCCGGGGGCCACCCCCTCGTGGGGCAGCACCCCTCCCAGCTGCAGAGAGCTATGGGCTACCACCCTGTAAGTCAAAGGTCTGCCTCGTGCCCCACGCCGTCCAGTGCCCCTGCTCCAAGGATGATCCCCTCCCCCCACTCCGGGCCGTCCTCCCCTCAGCTCCACTCGCTACCCTACCAGTCTTCCACCTCGTCCTCCCCCACCTCAGGTGGCAGTCCCCTGGGGCCCATGCAACAGCAGCGTTCAGGACAGCCCTCGCCCCAGGCCAGCCTGTCCCCGGTGGCAGCAGGGCCTCTGGTTCACCCTCCGAGCCCTCTCGGGCCGTTCTCACCGGACGGAGAGAGGCCGAACATCAAACAGGAGCCCGAGGAGAGGGAGCCCACCTTCCGCTCCATCGGCCTACAGGACATCACGCTGGACGATGGTAAGATGTTTATTCATATTAATCTCTGGGGCTACACAGGAAGGGGAGTGGTCTGCATCATTATGTGCTATCTGCAAAGACTTGTAGCACAGAGACTACATTTGTGTGCTGCTGCATCCTACATGCGATTGTGTGAATGTGAGCGTGTGTGTACATTAACAACTCTAATTAGCACGCTCAGGAGAACTTGTTGACTTTTAACAATTGGCAGTGAAGTCAGCACATGCATTTAACAGCTCTCGGCTCTCTTAAATTAACTCCACCTATTTTCTTAAAAGATGTGTGTCCAAGTTGTTCCCAATAGTCTACTTACTTATCTGCCTCGCTTGGTTGTGTTAACCCCAGTGCCATATTCAGATGGGGGTCTTAAAGGTTTAGGGTTAATGAATAGCCCGGCGCGGCCGTGAGGGAGGTGCGATATTGTGTGCTAGCAAGGGTCGGCCTAATTACCACGGGGACATTGTCAATAAGTCATGTGGGAAAAGGCAACCACCACTGAAGTTTATCAGTACGTAGTACTTGTGCAGACACACATTTAGACTTATGTAAAAGAAGAGAAAACCCGCCTCTGTCCCTTTTCTGTCTTCCCTTATTAAAAGCTTGCATGTGAACTCATAAAAAGGGGGGTTACTCAGACATTATTTACTGGAAACTAAAGCTCAGATTTAGTCACCCTCTCCCCATCTCACATGCAGAGGCCGGCACTCTCTGTAAAGTAGCTGGCTGTGCTCTCACCAACGTAGAAAAAGTGTGAGAAAAGTTTGTAAATGACAAGGTTCAACTGGGAACGTAAGCTCTCCCTTGGGCCTGTGGCTAAAAATAGCTTTCTGTGCCGGACCAGCTCTGTAGGCCACGTTTCTACGTAGAAATGTCAAGCTTATACACAGCTCCCAGTTTTAGCAGGTCACACTCTTTTAAGTAGACCATGCTAGCCCCAGTTGGACGGACAGACAGATCAGCAGGGGCATTAAAGCATAAATAGCAATAGATTCATACAACATAAATCCAACTCAAATTCAATCCAGAGCCATTATGCATAATTAACTGCCATCGACATGTTGCCCTTTAAAATGTGGACATTTGAGAATGACGTTGCATCAACTTCCTTGAACTCATGATGTTCACTCACTCACTATTATTTCTACTACCCCCCCATTGCTCTTATTAAAACATTGGATGAGTTTAGGAAGATGTGACGTTGAACTGTTTTGTGACCTGTAGAAAGCTGAGATGGATCGTTATTCCATCATGTCGTCATTATCCATGAAGTGAGCTACTGCAGTAGAACCGCAGACGTCTGTCAGTGGCACGAGAGGGAAAACAAATGCTAGTGAGTAGAAAACTGCCCCGGTTAGCGAGCAGATGGCCCGTGTGACGCACACCAGAGCATGCTTGAGATGTGTGTGTGTGTGTGTGTGTGTGTGTGTGTGTGTGTGTGTGTGTTAGATGGGGTATTGTGTGTATCTGTTTGTTTGATGTTGTGACGGTGTGAGTATGGTGTGTGTGTGTGTGTGTGTTTTATGTGTGTGTGCGGGAGCAAAGCAAGACACAGGAGGTGAGAAGACAGACCGACAGACAGATGGACAGACGAGGTCTAAATCCAACCCCACTGTTGGGTCACTCAGCCGAGACATTCAATCTGAAACGTGCATCTGACATGTAAAGGTTTGGACAATTGAATGAGAAAATCTGTCCAAACTTTTGACTTGACTTTTGGTACTGTAACCAAATGTTGTTGAGCTCTGTGTATTTCTACTGCTATGATGTGTGAATCAAAACGGAAGTGTAAGCGTCGGGTGCGGCTTTATTTGACATTATAAAGGCCATTTCTTCACGGTGACTGTTTGACACATTCAGCAAAGAGATGGCGTGTCATCACCTTAATCAAATTAAAAACATTATTTTCTCTTTATTTATTTTTTTACACGGCTCAACATGTAGAGATGATTGATGGACTTATTATAGGATATTATGATTTTTTTTGTATTCATTTGTATCAAACGTTACTCCCGTCACGATAATTGCCGCCGTCATGGCGACAGAATACGAAGCCCCTTGTGCTCCCGAAGTGTGCATTCAAGCAATTAACCATCTCAATGTTTGCAGAGCGTTGATGGGAAGGGATAGCACGTGTGTGGTTGTTGTGTACGTGTGTTCACAACAAAAAGCTGGTCCTTTGTTGGCTCCGCCCTCCCCAAATCCACAGCTGCCTCAAACAGCGAGCACGGCATGGAGCGGTTAATAATAGTCCGCCTGTATTCCTTGTGAGAGACACACACACGGCAATGACACAAACGAATACACACAGACACACACGGGGAGCGACACCATCCTATATTGAAGATGTAATTGAATATATCAGGCGCGGTTAGTTCACGCGCAGTGAACTGTCCCAATCCAGGTTTTTACTCTTACTCTCTTGTTGTTTCTTAAACCCAACATCAATCAAGCAACATTTTTCTATCCATTTTTTGTTATTTTTTGGTTATCTGCTTTATTGCCCAGATTTTGATGAGAAAATCAAGACTTCTCTTCTCAGGGTCATGTGTAAAAGGGTTTAGAAGACATTTAAAAAAAAACGCCAGTCCGCCTCCAACTAAAGGTAACAAAGTAGACCTACTAGCATGTGAAAAGCTCACCCATCAATATGGTGCATCTTGTTTGTTTAAATTATTCGTAAAAACATGTTAAAATATTGTGGTTGTAGCTACAAGAATGGGTGAATGCCTTCACTGAATGTTAAGCAGTGAGCGTTGGAGGTGCAAGTGGATTTTGTCCCCTCGGGGACAGAGACGCTCGCCGTTGGTCAGGCTCTTCGCTGCCACCTGATATTTATCAGAAAGGCAGAGAGTGGTGATGCGCATGTCATTCTCCACCATAACGGCATTATGTCTGACTATAAAGTATAATATTATGTCAAACAGGTAGCTGTCCTGTAAAGACAAAGGCTGGTTGATCCCCACTGAGAATCAACAGTCGTCTCACGAGCAGCTGCTTTCCGCCCACAGGCCGACTGCACGCTCCCCGAATGAAGCCAAATGGCAGAAAGCGTAAATGAGGAAAACTGAGTGCTAAAGAAGCCAACATCTAACAATCCAGACAAAAAAGACTGATATATTCCTCAGGAGTTGGCTGGTGAGACCGGGAGAAAAGGCTTCGGAACGTGTATTCCCCTCTGACAGGTGTTAGGAAATACGACTCCAGTTGTATCCCAAATTAAATTATACATGACATGAAACTTGGGATTGACCTTTCGTTTTTGACAACCTTTGTAAATGATCCTGGCTCTACATTTTTCTTTGGAAAAGGCCTGAAAAGTTTATTTGAACTTTCACAATTTTCTTTTACTGTCAGGTTGTAACTGCCTCATAACAGCTGCCATTATGGAACCATCAACAGTTTGAAGCAAAATCGTTAAAGTAAAAACCAAAGATATTGACAAATGTCGACAAACTGCTTTTTCCATTATGATAACGTACTTGTCTTTGGACAGGACAGATTGTAAACATGTCTGTAGTTCATTTAACTCATTCTTTTGATGAAACAACCAAATATAAATCATACTGTTGTTGTTTATGTACATGGGAGCACCTCATTCTGAGGTTTCATGCTGCCATTAACCAGCCACAGTAATAACACACAGCTCTGGATTCGATTCGATTCGACAGCAGGAGGAAAATATGTTTCAATCAAATGCTGCCGCCGCTCGTTAAAGGCAATGGCAAACATTTGCTTGACTTTGCCCCTGAAACAGATGGAAACAGACTTTCCGTGTCATCTTTCCATACAATTAAGGCCTCAGCGAGTGAAGCGGCGAGGTCTTGGCAGAGGCCAGAGAGACGCTGCCTTTGTTTGTGGGCAGAAGGAGCGGAGGCCCGGAAATCCCTCAGCAAGGACGAGAGCAACGCCTCCACTTTTAGGTTCTGCTGTCTTCAGTTCCTGCTGAGTGTAACAGCAGTGAGGTAGATTTGGCTCTGGCTGAATGCACAGGGCCTCAAATGCGTGTGTGGAACCCAATCAACAGATAATTCATCAACAAAAATGAAAAACATGATGAAATGTGGTCTCTTCAGATGTGAGGATCTGTTGCTTCGGTATCTTTCACTATTTCCAGACACTATTTAGATAATGAATGTAATTGTTGGTTGTAGTTCTAATGGGTTAGCGAAACACATCCAATGGTTTTAGGTACCAGAGACTCCTCGGCTTCTCGCCCTCGGCCGATATCACCCACGATGTCGGCCCGTTATTAACCGCCGTAACGAGCTTTGCCGGTGTCCCCGGGCGGCCCCCTTTGTGCCCCAGCGGTTCCCCTGTCCCGAAGCCCAGTCCTGTGGTCGTCTGCCGAGTGGAGTCTTTTGAATCAATTCACAGATTCAAAGAACTTGACTTAAAAAAATAAAAAAAGATCTATGTGCCATCACCGAATTTGCTGAATTGCCAAAGGAACCGATCTCGGAGCAGCAGTTAAACGAGTTAACCAGAGTGAGCTTTACTGAGCCGAGCCCGGAGACTTCAACACAAAGTTCCACCAAATGAGCGTTTCTTTCCACCATGTGTGTGAGCGCGTGATCGCTCAGTGGGTTTTCACTTCTCCTACCTGGGGCTCTGTGCACACGTGCACTGTGCATGTCATTACAGGCGACCTGCGAGTGGAAACTCTGCGCTTCGATATTCTCTCTTGCTTCTTATTCTTTTTTTTGAACAAATGTTTTCCATTGTGGCATGTTGTCTTCATCTCGCCGGACTCAGTCAATCTATGAGTTGTTTGCTTAATCTGCTCTGCCAGAGTAATGTTTTCTAAAGCCATGTCAGGGAACTTTTTTCAATGTGTCATCAAGGGTGATGATAATCATCGTTTTTCCATTTCGACTTGTAGTCATGATTATCATACCGAAGGACGGTCTGCTCATTTCACTTCTGTTTTGCATTATGCAAATTATTTCAATCTACCTCCTTTGAATGAAAGCGTGAGATCACCCAATCATAGTCGTCTCCTGGGAGACGGTGAACTTTATCTCGGGAAGATTAAAGGAAATCCGGACAACAATTCATTCAGCCTATGTAGATTTGAAAGTACATTAGTTTCTGCAGCAATGCTTTCTCTTTTTTAAACTGTGGGACGTATTCAAGCCACATTTTTCTTGGAGACAGTTTGTGTGTTCTTGACTTTTACAGATGTGTATACCTCCAGTAAGCCGTCCCTCATTTTCCTTTCATTTCCTATTAAACCTGAAGAAGCCCGGTCCTGAATATCAGTATGGACATTAATGATGAACCATTCCATGCAGCGTAAAACGAGCAGCGACGACACCCGGCTGCAGGCTGAGACTAAACACATGGAGCATCAGCAGAAGCCATCAGCACAGAGCGAAGGGACTGTAGTAGAAGTAGTAGTTGTGGTGGTGAAGGTTGGCTGACTTGCTGATGTGTACTTTAATTAGGGAGCCCCCCCTCCCAGTCATACGGAGAGGATCTCCCTCCCGGCTGAGCCATCAGAGTCACGCTGTCGACGGCAGGCAGCGCTGAATCACGACCAATACCAGTAAATCTGAGAAAAACTCAATCTGGAAATGAAACCTGTCGCAGGCCAGACTCGACTCAAAACTCTCTTTACTTCACTTCTGTTTTATCAATGTGTGGAACAGAGATGACTGCTTATTGATATGTGTGAAAATTAAGCCCTGTTTTATGTAAAATACTTGTATATCGGTTGTAGATTATTTAACTCTATGCAGTGAAAATAAGCTCTTCCTACTTTCCAGTGACTGTTGTGAGACAACATACAGTACCAGTTTGGAAGCACTTTCACGTTGAATTAAATAAATAATAAATGTGGCCAAATTTTGGACTGGTACCGTATGTCCAATATTTTCCTCAAACCGCCCTCAATCAAGTTGTCCAAAGTCGAGCGCAGCTGTAATATCGAGAGTGAAGCCTAGCAAAAACGGTTTTGACAGATTGTGTGGGAGAACCTCTTCCAGCACCTTTTTTTTAAATGAGAAACAGAGCAAATCTCACGAAGAGGAAATGAGGGTTACGATGCCCTTGATAAATAATGAAGCCGTGGGTTCTCGCGGCTTTTCTTCGCGCTGTCTGTCTCCTGATTTATCAGACCGTAGATTAATGTTCGCCTCTGCAACAATCTTACCAGCTGAGCGGAAAGTGATATGTGCTCTGCAGACGCCCACTTGATGTCGGTTTGTCGCACTTCGCACGATGCTGTTCATATTCCTGTGGTGCTTGAGTAGATTGACTCCCGTCAATCAACTGAGCTGCACAGTTTACCACATTACAGTCTAACACAGGCCCCAAACATCGCGATGTGATTGGCTTGCTAATTAGGGTTGAAATTAGAACTGTATACTGATATATATATATCTGGTCAGTTATGATGCAGACTGAAGTGTAGATGTCTTCATGATATTCTGCACATTTGTCCCGTGGTAAAATATAGAAATACATTTCCCTAAATTGGTGTGGACATTTGACAGAGGAACAGTTGCTGTGCTGGCGTCTTAATGTATACAGCTGCTCTGAGGGTCCTTTGACAGCAGTGAGACGCTCTTTATTTCGAGCTCAGTTTCACCACTTGTCTGTTAAAAGGTCACGGCCTTTAAAGGAAATCTGTAGTCTCTCCTTAAGCATCACAGTTGGATTGTTAAAACTGTCCCACTGTGTTGAATATTGTACCTTTGGTGTTATATATACAAGATGAAATGTTTGTTTTGATATACACAGTCTAGTGACATAAGTGCGTGGTGGTGTTGTGAGTGTGATTTTGTGCGTGCGTGCGTTTGTGTGTGTACATGGTTGACATGGGAAAGGAAGAGCCTCCCACGCTAACAGGATGATGTGAGTGATGGTGGCCAGACACAAAAGCAAGCAGCAGAAAACACAAATATAACAGAATGTACGCCACAGCACAAGTTAAACCTGTTGGTCCTTAAAATAAACCAGGCGTTTCTTTACAATACAAATACAAGTTGAAGTTTCAACTGATTTAGAACGCTCTCTGTAGTTTAAGGAGATTATGAAATTGTGAAACAGTTGCCAAGGTAACGTGTCGTCCTCGTGCGCCCTGTTTTTTTTTTATTTATTTTATTATGGTCTGGGCATTGTATGTGTTTTTAAAGTACATTTTTGTAGCCTCCAGAGGTAGGCGGAGGAGGGAAGAGCTGTCGTGTGCAGACAGGTCGACCTGTAACTCTTGCCAGCATCAGACTGGGCCAGAGGTCTCTGCTGCACCCTCCCAAAACCAGTTTACCCTGCCTGTTTCTGACCCGACAACGTCCCCTTGAAAAACACCCAGAGACAAAGGCGAACCGTTTTATTACAGTGGAAAGAACGCTGGCTTCACATTTTCCATGGATTTCACCAGACAACTTCTCGGTCTGTCCTTGTGTCTTCCTCACCGAGCATTTGAAGTTGATTTTATTTCACGGCCGCACTTTTTTTTACTGGCTCCCCGCTGTGTGAACACTGGATGGAGGCAGCAGATGTAAAACAATCTCACGCTGCCGCCCGAAAAACAGAGCAGCAGCGCAAGAGGAGGGGTGATTTGTAACTCTTTTACAGCCAGTGTGGGCCTCCCCGGTGCCGCCACATGGCCACTAACCCCATGAACTGGCTTGGGGAAATGTACAGAACCTTTTGAGCTCTAATGAAATAACAGCCCCTGTCCCATGCGGGACTGTGGCGACGCAAAAAAGGCCCATTTAGTGAATTGAATAGTTCTTTTGATACGTGTTGAGTGATCGTATCTCTGTGAGTTTCTTTCCACTTTGAGCGCTTTGCTGCGTTTAGTAAAAACGTTTCAATCTCGCGTGGCACAACACTGCCCTCTGCTGGCCAGGACTGTATACTTCACCTGGACTTTATTTCCACCCGGGGTTCCAGGGCCGAGAGAAGATGAGAAGCTTCGAGGCTTCAAACTGCAGATGCACCGGGACACCTGCTGGTTCTTAAAATACATTGCAGGCCTTCAAGTCAACACCTTCACAATCTCCGTAATCAAAACATAAATATAAATATCTGATCATTGAAAACAAATCCTCATCTGTCATTCTCCCACCAATGTGTGTGTCACTTGTTAATTCACCTTCGTAACTGTCAAGCTGAAGAGGTTTCCCAAGTACGTCTTGGATCACACTGTCTTTCTTCTCTTCGCAGTGAATGAAATCATCGGCAGAGACATGTCCCAGTCCCCCGGCACGCATGGTCCTCCACCAGCACACAGCCAGTCATAGCCCAGCTCTCGCTCCGGTCCGGAAGCAGCATTTAGGATCCAGAACCACCTCCTCACGCTCCGGTCCAGTTTGTGATGGGACAAAAGGCAAAGACAGAATACGGTTGCAGAATCTGTTAAAGCCTCATGGACGTCCTACACCAGCTGCCCGGCAAGGAGACAATCCCATTTGTCTCCTCTGAGTTTGTTTTAAACGATTTCTCTCATTTAGAGTTATAGAAAAAAGGCACGCAGATTAAATAGGAAGGTGTGCAGGAGAATGATGTTGAAATGTTTGGAGAATACGAAGTGACCCGTCCCTTGTCATCAGGCTTGTGCCTGCCCTGTCTTCCTGACCAATCGGCTCTCCGTGACAATGGAGCCCTCGCTTTTCAAATGGCTCCCTCTGTGGTGGAGGCAATGCAACGGGGTCCATGTCGTCCCTGTCTCTGAATGAAGACGTCGTAAGAGACGTAGGAATGAGAAAAAAGGCGGGAGCGCACAGTAAGCCAGAGCTTACTGAACATCAGGACACTAAAACTCTACAAAACATCAACAAAACGGTGGTCAGGCAAATAGAAATTGGATCACTTGGTGATAGAAAATGAGTAATTTGTACAATTGTAGCATCACATTAAGATCAAAAAACATTGAATGATCAGAGTTTCTCAAAAACCTTTTGGAACACATTTGAATTGGAACATGTGGCTCATTGATGACGGCATTGCCCACTCGTTGATCCTCTCGCTTTTTAGATGATTAAATCATTCGGGTCCGGAGTGCAACGACCCGGCAGGGAGGGCGCGTGCTCCTGGTCGCCGCGCTGGTCTGGGATCTGCAACTTGCAACATTCCACAACTTATAGTAACCTTGCAGCTGTGTAGATATTAGCACACAAATCCACTCCTGTATCTATTTTCTTTCTTCTGTCTATTTTGTCTCATCAGTTGTCTCCTCCTTCTCCTGTATCTCTGCATCTTCAAGTTGAACAAATGCCTTATTAACACTTAGCAGCTTTTTGTAGCTAAAACTTTTCTCTGTTGTTTTTTGCACAGCTGGCTTTGAGTGTGATGAGATTTTATGAATCTTTATGAGGGATAGGTGGGTTTCAGGACTGAGACAGCCCTCTAATTTGTATTCAAAGATATTTGAAGATGCCTGTTAATGCTGAGTTACAAAGAAGTGTTTTTAATAATCCACGTCCCTGCCTCTGAAATGTATTTTCATGCAATAACTCCCTAATCCTCCCAGGGGCCCTAGTGTGCCTTTCGAATTCCTGACAGCCGCCATAGCAGCGTGGTATTCAGTTAATGGAAAAAGAAAGTTTTAAAGTATTTTATATCCAAAAGATGTTGATATAGAGCAGATATGTATTGTTCCCCCTGCTTTCATCAACAAGATTCTTAAAAAAAAAAAAAAAAAAAAAAAGCTGGATGCATTTTCCTGTTTTCAACAATCAATGTTTGCGGTCCACAATCAAAGACTACTCCTTCACTGTGTCGAGTGGTGACTATTCCCAGTGATGTATCCCTCCAGTGATGTATCCAGATGTGCTGCGCCTGTACGGCAGCAACAACTCCGTCCCGAGGAAGGAGGCCGGTTTCAGACGTGGATGCGAGCGGACAGATTTCCGTTGGCTTTTTTTCATTTTTTTTGCCTTCAGCTGAAGACTATGATGCTCCTGCGTGTCAGAGCCGACTTTGAAGTCAGTTTCCAGGTGAAAATGATTCTGCTATGCATTATAATTCTGCCGAATGCCTTTTAAAAATGAGGAGAAAAAAAAAGACAAAAAAAACAACCCTTGATGCCTATAGAAGTAGAATGTAGACTTGTAGCTTCTTGATTAGTTCTGTTTGCATCCCAGAGTTTTCCCATCAGCCAATCTGCCTTGTTGAGGGCGCAGTGCGAGCATCTTAATAGGCTATGGTGTGTGTTCGAGTGTGTGTGTGTGTGTGTGTGTGTATGGTTAGTGTTTGTACCAAATATGCTGTACAGAAGACAGGGAGTCCTGTTTTCAACAACAGAAGCACACACACACACGTTGAGGCTATGCAAACGATAACCGCAGCAAATGTGAGATGACGTTTGAAAATAAAAGAGGAGATTATAAACTGTATGAACTTCACGTGGCGGGAATGAAAAAAACAACATTCGGAAGTGAGTATCATGTCACTATGTAAACTATTAGGATGCCTTAACTCTTGTTTGAAAACCAGTTTGTCAGTGTGTCCATATGCTGTTCTGGGTTGATTTTCTTTTTTTCATTGACTAAAGACATGAGTCGGTAACTATTATTCTTATTGTCCCATTTGTATTGGGGGGGCACAAAGTTGAAATTACATTTTTTCATATAAAGCTGGTGCTGCAGCTTTAAAGACCACAGTCAACAAAAAACTAAAACAAAACCAGCATTGACAGTAAACTGGCTGCCGTCCTCGGCAGTCACAACCAAAGAGCGAACCGCATGTTCCCATCTTACATTATGGTAAAGCAAACAGAGACTGTACAACTCTATTTTTGATACATTGAAATAGATGTCATTCCTAAAAGGTTGGGAAAACGTATGAGTGTTGAGAAATATACGTATATATATATATATATTATATATATATATATATATATATATATATATATATATACGTATATATATGTGTTTGTGTATATATAAATATACACACATATATAAATATATGTTTTGTAAAATAAAAGGGAAATACAGGTTTAGCTGATGTTTACCGAGCCTTGTATTGTCATTTCTTGTATATTTTGTATGTTAAAATTTTTGTAATTTTTAAGACTGCAGTGCTTTTTGAAATTATTCAAAGGGAATACCTTGCATCATATTGTAGGCTCTAAAGTAGTGTATATCAATAAAACAGGAAACTCAGCTATGGCCTCGTGTCCATTTCTTTCATACGAAGTGAGTATTTTCTGTCGTGAAAACATGAAGTGTTGCTTCACTACACCGTGTGTAGAGGCCACCGGCTTGATGCAAAGCATAAGGCCATTTCTAATTTGGATTTACTTCGACAGTGGGTTTGCATGAAATAGATATAACGCACATTTGCATAGATTATGACCAGTCTTATTTGGCGCCCTCCAGTGGTGCCTTTCAACACAAACGGCAAAATCAATTTCTTTAAATTCTATTCTGTTTTGCCTCTCTCGACAAACAGAAAATTGCATGATTATTTCTTCAAAACCTGTGTTGTCTTTTTTTTGCAAACAGATTACCAAAACTTGGTAAAAAGTTGCAGCACAGGGCGGGACCTGGGGGAATATCTGTTAAGTTGTCCCTCACTGGCCTGCTGAAAACACTTTATAATCCTAAAGTTGACACAAACCGGGTCCAGCTACAGCTGGTGCTTTCACAGATGTCCTTCTCTTATCGTAGAACCTCTTTAGCAGTTACACCTGCTGAAATACGTGCATACATACGTGCATTAGCATGCTTGCTTTGGCCTTGCTTAGGTAAATGTTCTTTCCTGTTACTTTGGCAGCTGAAATATCTCCCAGTTAATCTCTTTATTAATTTAGATGGTTTCAGCTGGAAAGAACGGTTTCACTTGAGAATGGAGACATTGCAATTTTCTCTTCAGATTTGGGGGATTTAAACGAGTGAAAGGAGGTAATGAGACAAGAAGACTTGCCCTCACTGCAGTCTACTGGCCCATAGCGAGCAGAGATGGGAGTGTCAGGAGAGACAAAACATTGCATTCTGGGAACCAGTCCAAAGACCAGGCCAGTAAGAACTTGTTAAGTTAATCAAAACTCTGGATTGTATAGTGTTTCCAGGGCCGGATTCAACCTCAATATCAAAGCTGCTCATAGATGTAAATATACCCCTGCATAAGCATCACAGTAGTAAGGCACAGTGACAGTAATCCATGCATTTTTTGGGGGGGGTTGAAGATGGTTAAAAACATTTAAGAAACAATAAATTAGATGCTACTTACCATCATGTGCAGGGGGATTATTTATGTGTTTGTTTCTCCTTTTTTCATTTTTTTTACTTTCCTTCTGTCCTTCCTGCGTTCTCATTTACCTTCGCTTAAAACTAACCCACCAAGGAAATGTTGATCGGGGAAAATCTTCTCAATGATGCCACTCCGGGAACCTCAACTTCAAGCACATGTCAGAATATAGGCCTGATGTGATGCAAGTTGCACAGCGTTGGATCCACACAACATCAGTGGAAAACAAAAGAAATGGATTGTTTACAATTGCTTTAGATTTTGGCGTGTTGCTGAACCTTACATTGAATAAGCCAGAGCCTATAGAATCAGAGTTTGCTATTTTAACTCAGTTCCAATAAAACATTGCTACCGGCTCTCCCAAAAGGTAAGTAAGGCCTTGTCTTTAATGACTATCCATTACTTATATATATATACTATACATGATTTTGTCCACCCAAAATTTAAACTACAATATCAAACCACTTCTTTGAAAAATATTTGCTTTAGCTAAAAAAAAAATGTGGAGCTCATTATTTGAACACTCAGCAATAGAAGTGTAGCACTATGATCGCAGGTGTTTCTTTCTGCATTGAGGATGTCCTTTCATTTGCCTTCTACTATCAGCGTGAGTCATAAGCACTACACGCCTCATGGAGGTACTGCTATTCAGCTGAGTCCTGTTCGACCATTTCCGGATTCATCAGATCCGACCAATGACATTGAAGCACTGGCCGCAGCCTCCCACCCTCACCTTTCCTCGCCAGCCAATAGAAGAGGCCCGCTGTGCTGCTCTCGCGCAGAGGACGAGCCACACAGGTAACTCAAGGGGGAAAAAAAATAGAAAGGCGAGGAAGGAAAAAAAAAAAAAACTCTAGGGCTTGTTATGGAGTTCGTGTGAAAGAAACACGGATTTCCACCCTTCTTTACCAGTTAAACCAGTATCTCTGGATAGGGCACACTCAAGTACTTCAACAGGTAGAGTCTCTGACCGCAAACTCTTTCGGTGCTCCTCTGAAAATAATCTCCCACCTTTTTTTTGTTTTGTTTGGTTCTCTCCGTTTAACCTCAATTGAGTTTCCAGCCCTTTTGTTCGCTCTTCTTATCACTTGGAAAAAGGTGAACCCTCGTGTTATTTTTATTTTAATCTTTGCTTTAATTGTAGTTTTTACCCTTGTGGTCCCTGATGGCTTCGCACAGTGATACTCTGGTGGTGTTCTTTGGGGCAACAGCTGGTGCAAATGGGGGTAAACTGGGTTCGGATGAGAGGGAAATAATTCTCTTGGTGTGGCAAATTGTGGATCTACATGAAAAAAAGGTACGGACCTTCTGTGACCCGTTCGTTCGTTGTACGGTTTCTTTGTGTACCCAGAGTGTTTGTGGCGTAGCGTGAACCTGTAGTGGAAACCGTTTGTTTGACATTTCAAACCAACACGGCGTGCTCCCCCAAGCCCCCTTTTCCTGCGACGCTGGCTCGCGCTGCCTTCTCTGCGCCTCGTTAGCGCACCTTTTTACAGGTGTGCGACCCCAAATTCTCCCCTTTCATGGAGAAAAACACACCGTTTTGGTTTGGCATGTCAGTTTCTTGATATATTTATTGACAAATTAAGTGCTTTTTTTTTGTTTTTTTGTAAGCGGTATTTATTTTCTGAATGTGGGTGTATGGAGTTTTTTAAAATCTTTAAAAAAAACATTTTAGTGCCATAATTAAATTAAAAACCACTTTTTGACGTTGTATCCTCCGCCGTGAACCGCTCGAATCCCTTTCTCACAGGTCGGTAAGCTTCACAGATGTGTTGTCAAGCCGGACGCCTTGGAGCTGACGGATCAGTGCTCGGAGGACACCGGCCTGACTGTGGACGACCTCGCCGAAGCAGAGCCGCTGGACAAAGTGCTGCAGCAGGTGAGTCTTGCTGGGGGGGGTCAGGTGTGTTTCTTCTTTTATGGGGAGAAGGACTTTTGCTTCATCTCACCTCTCTGGGGGACATTCATAAACGGACACAGGACGGATGGACCTGTGTTACTGTTGTGGAAAAGAGATGAAGAGCGGAATGAACGGTGGTCGGGCACCTTGCTGAATTAAGGGGGGGCCCTCAGATGGCTCCCACGTGTAAGACCGGGAAGTGATTTGGTTTCGATGGTTTGTCATGTTGAGTCAATTCGAATAGTATATTAAAAAGTCAGTTTGATAACAATTATCTCTCTCACACGCACAACTCATTTTTTCAAATGAAATGTTGTTTTTTGCACTAAAGTTCTGGATTAAATTGAAAAATATGTATGTTCATTTATTCATACCAAAAACAACCATGTTGTTATTTAATTAATGTAATTTTATTAGAATTTTATTTAATTATTAGACCATTTTTCAAAATATTTGCCGTACTATGATGTGTATACTTATCGGGAAATGAAATTACGTACTTCGGGTTCAAGGAGACCTACCGAGGAGGTGAGCTGCCATTTCTCCACCCACCAGGCCTCCCTTCATACCTGCCGTTAAACCAGCTCCCCCCCCAGCCTGGTGCTCAAAGACAGAGCTGCTGCCGGCCCATGAATCTTATAGGACAGGCTGTAAATCAATCAATCAAATCGCCTGTTGTATTTCTATGGAATAAAAAAAAAGCTAATAAATGTCTTCTCCCTCAGCAACAGGGTGAGAAATTCATAAGTTAATTGAACCCTGGCAACTTTCCTCTTGACTGTTTATGCCCAAAGCGAGATGAGACGTGGCAAGTCTGACTTGCTGTGTTTTTTTTTTTGTTTTTTTTCTCGCTGTAAGTAAATGTGTGGTGTGTTAAATCTCCCTGATGCCCTTTTTAAAATGACTGTCTTCCTCCTGGTCGAGACATGCCACTGGCTCGGGCCTGACAGGTAAACTCTGCTGACAGTTAGTAGAAGCTAAAGTGGGGGGACGGGCAGAGCCTGGGGCACCCGCAGCTAAGGAGTCGCAGGCCCGGTCTTGTCTCGGGCCTGGTGCACACTGCAGACATCTGGAAGGCGGAATGTTTACCTGGTACCGCACCTCTGTTTTAGGCTGCAGGACAGACTGGAGGGGAGGCCATGTCCTCCTTAAACTTCCTTATGACCAAGACGATAATCTGCTTTTTGCTTCCTCCCTGTTAAGAGGTGTGTTTCAACACAAGTGTTGCCAAACATGTTTTTCAACCCACCCCCCCACCCTCCTGTCATGAGTGTTTGTTTGCTTTGGTTACACCTTTCCCATTCCCTCTAATATGTCATTGTCGAGTTAGACTGGCGCGCCTGGGTCTAAGTACCACGTGTGTCCTGGTGGGGTTGGTTAGCGTAATCAATTGTTTTCTTATTTCGGGGGCTATTTTGCAATAATGATGCAGCTGCCGTAGAGGCACTCAATTCGTCGCCCAATGCACTTTAAATGACATTGCAGTTTGATTCAAACGCGGAGGCCGTTTGTGGCTGGTGGCTAACTCTTCAGCGCTGCTGTAGGTTAGTTTGTGTGCTGAAGCTTCAAATATTAACCCGAGCAATCAGTTTGTTCTGGTCCTGCTATTGTGTCATCAGTTACTTCTCTTGCTGTTGGTCATTCTAAGATTAGTTTTGGTGAAATAAGGTTGGAGAGAGTAGCCTATAAAAAAATGCGTTTTGCAGATTGCTTTAGTACAAATCTTTAGCTAAACGTTGCAAATGTGAAAGTACAATATTTGTTTAGTGAGTTCTATTACTGCATCTTTAACTGCTTTTGTCAATTGGCCTACTGACCATATATGCCACTACTATCACATTATGGTGTGCCAGTGTCGGCGACTGATGGTTTATCTCGTCGTGCTGCTGCTGACTGGGCGGCCTTTGCTTCGGTCGTAGACACTGACGCCATGTCACAGCCTGTCGGGAGCTGCGTGAGATGATGATCATGTTGTTGTGCTGCAACCGGTTTCGTTCTCGACCACCGTTTGAAATACTGACTGCTGGGTTTGGCCTCGAGTTGAGTTACGTATTCGGTGCTTGCCAAAGGGAACTGTGTCGTGACACTAGAAGCCGGATTAGTCTCATCGGAGAGATTCACATGAGCTGGATTTCAACACTACGGCAAAAAGCTGCTTAAAGACGACACAAACCGCACCATTGACTGACTTGAATGAAGCGGAAGCTATGATGATGTCTCGCTCAACAGCGGATAGTGTTGCGCTATATATTTATGGAGAACTTCCTTGAAAACGTCAGCTTGCTATGATTACGTCTGTTCCAAAGAACCGCTCTTCACATTTTCTCACCTAGCCACCAGAATAAAGTGTAGAATTTACTTCCTGATAAATAGTTTGAGTCCGAGAAGAGCCTTTAAAATATGTTTATATAATTAGTATACGTTTATTGCAAATAGTGGGCCCCATTATGTGCATAGAGCCGAAACGTGAGTTATGCGTTCCCACCGAGCTGGTTTAAAAAACAGCAACATATCACTCTGTTTTAGACTAATTGTTTTCAGTTTTTTCTTCTTGAGATTCACCAACTTGTTCTGAACACAAGCAACGTACAACGCTTTAGTGGAGGCATTCAGTGTCAGGCGACGTGTCAGTTTGCTCTACCGGCTCGGTGTGTGTGTTTTGACGTTCGGTGCCTCAAAGCGTTTCCACAGGGACGGTCCTGACACTCCCTGCTCTTATCAGACTTTTCTTCAGCCACCTCCACCTTCCCTCTGCATGCAAACAGTCCGGCTCCACTGGAGAGCAAACTGTGATGGGACCATGTTCAAAGGCCATTTCCTCCCCCTCATGTGTGGAAAAGCTTTTCAGAGGCTGCAAAGAGTCCGACAGTAGTAAAGTATTTATGGGTCCTAGAATAATGAAACCTGCTAATTTTGGATATGACTAATACATTACTTTTCTTTTGCTAAGATTACTTTATCATAGAGACTGTGTGAAGGGTTTAGAACTTAAGCGTGCCAGTCAGTCAGGATGATGATGATTGCTTCTTTGTTTAGTGGCATAATATTAACCCTTTTATGCAAATGACTACTAACCAGTAAATCATGCTAATCGGAAATCCAATTGTCTGGTCTGTTCAGTTTGTCTTAAGGGCCCGTTGTCTTCACCTTTTTTGTTTTCACTAAGCTTTTTCCTCTGTTCAGTTTGTTTGCTCAATTTAAACACTCTTTGGCTATTGTTGCTTTGTTTCATGGTCGAAAGACTTTTGAACGTTTAAATCTATGATTATCGTGATTATGATAATTAGACAAACCCGTGCCATGTCAAAAATCTTAGATCTGCATAAAAAACTGAAATGTGTGTTGCTGCTGGTATTCCTTCTACAAAGAACATTTGTCATTTTCAAACATAGTGCAGCGATCTAATGTCTCTGGCAGCTTTTCACCTGCTGGACGTAAAACCCCATCGTAGTAAGGAACCTTCAGGTACTTTATCTGGATGTGTTGCTGCAGGAAAGTTATCCAGTGCATTGAGAGTTTCTTTCTTTTCTCTTGCTTTTACATGACCTTGACCTGGAAAACCTTTACAGCGTGAGGAGAATTAAGATGAGGCGCATAGTTGAAAGTGTAATGACTGTCCATCACTTTCGTTTACTCACTATTGCACAAGTGTGAAGAGAAGTAACCAAAATGCATAGTGTTAAGAATAACTTTTTATACCTGATGTGAGGACAAAATAGGTTCCACACTCGTTCAAGAAACTTGATCTTCAAGCTCTTTAAAGTTCAGGTCAAGCAATGAATGGTTTAAAACCCTCCATTCGATCATTGATGTTCAGCGCTGGTCAATATAGATTTTTTTTTTTCTAGAAATCTATTTTATCTGGGTGACATTACAGATACTCAAGAAGCCTCACCATCAGCCCATAAACACCCAGTGGACTGACTGGTGGGCGCATGCTTCAACACGCACCTCTAATGCTGCTTCACTGTCTTGAGATCCGTCCCACATAGCCAGTGGCCATGTGAGGCAGTCATTGGGTTCTCGCTGGCCTCAAAGCCAGACAATCGTCTGATTTTGTCTGACAGGTAAATTTGAGGATTCCGGGATGAACAATGGCAAAACTAAGACGACCTTCTGGCGGCCCAAGAGTCTTGAACGTTTCTATATTCCCCTTTCAGTGTCAGCGTATCCTCACCAAATAACCTATAACGATTCTTGTTTGTGTTTTACTCAACTTTCCTTGAAGATGAGTCATTTGAAAGGAAAACAAAAGCAAAGATGGCGTCCTCTGACCTCACCAGTGGGTGTTGATAATGAGGTGTTCTGTTGAAAGCGAGCAACAGGTTGACACAACACAAGAATCGTCCCGCATTGAACGTGGCAGCTATTAACATTTGCGTTGGATAAAAATGGAGGCAGAATGGTTGAACCTGTCTGGGTTGTTCGTGCCTCTCGTCTGGCTGTGACTGCAGGTTATTTCTGGAGACGACCTGATCCTGGTGATCAGTGGCGTGATCAGTTCTTTTTGTGTGGCCTCCTCCCTCGCTAGGCAAACACTGGAACCTGTTAGACGAGCCCCGTTCCTAATGTGAAACAAACACAACATCACCTCCACTTGTTTGACTTTTGGATCGAAGTGTAATTCTCACTTTCACACGGTGGGCGGAGGTTGCACAACAGAGGGGGCCATATTTTACCCATTTTGTTGGGAGGTCTCAGTGTTTGGAAAAAGAATGAAATAATCCAAAATAAATTCACTTGTAGATGTATTAGGTTTTGTAAGCTAATATTGATTGTGCTGCTTCACCGCGTCAGGTACAATTATTAGATATGTTAAATTATTTGTTTTCTCCTCCCTTTGTGTTTGTTTGTTTGCAGTTCCAGCAGTCGGTGTCATCAGAAGTGAAATGCCTCGGCAGGAGCTCTTTCACTCTTTGTGTCGACAGTCCCCACGTCATCCGACAGGCCCTCCACCCAGAAGCTTCCAAAAAGGTAACTGCCAAACAAATGCAGGCCACTAGCTTCTCATACTTGAGAATATCAGTAATTACTCCAAATAAACCCATAAAAAATGAATCCGTTCAAGTTCGATTAGAGTGTCCCAAGTGGAAACATTAAACATGTATGAGTTAATTTCCAGAAATGAGTTAAATGCAATAAGCTTCAAAGATGGGATTTCTTTCCATCATGAGTTTGGGCACCAAGTTGCATTAGAAACTAAAGGAATTTAGTTTGTGTTCCTGGCTGTAACTCTGACACCAGTTTTTTTTGTTGTAAAATGATATCTCTTTGTGTCTAATGTGTCAAACTGAATACTTTTTGTTTCTTCTTTTGTAGAATCTTGTCCTTCCTGAATGTTTCTTCTCCTTTGTGGACGTGAAGAAGGAGTTTCACAAATGCTGCCCCGATGCCAGCTCTGTGCCGAAGCGCACACTCGCCTCCATGTTGGAATGTATCCTTAACTATTAGTCACATTTCATCGATACTCAATGTTGTAAATACTCTTTAAATTGTATATGTCAGGGGAAATTAAATAACAGTGTTCATGTTTATGAAGCAGAATTGTATTCAGAGCTTATAGGCCGTTTGTTGCACATTTAGATCTACCGATGTCAAAATGACAGGCCACTTATGTAGCGCCGTGACCTTAACTGTGTGTGTAGATGTGGGTCTCCCTGCGGTGTCGGAGGAGTCCATGGGGGAGATGGAGGTGAGCAGCATGGTGCAGCTGACGCTCCACCTCCTGGCTGAGCCCCACAGTAAGCGAACCGCTGCACTCAAACTGAAATGACGTGAGCTGGAGAAATCCAAAAGACATTTGTGTGCCGTGAGAATTCCTCTATCTTGGGTGTTGCAGCGGCCTCCGGCTCGAGCCCTTTAATAACCGCTTGTCTTTGGGTGTGATCCGGAATGCACACGGCTTAAAACACGCGCAGCTTTTCAGGGTGAAGCTGTTCACTGTACTCAAGAGAGAATGTTGTTTTTGACATCATCGATTTTTCTTTTCTTCTCCAGACCACAAGTTCACCTGTGTTGAAACGGTGAAGTACAAGTTTGATTCTGGCACCTGGTACGTACGACGTGTCTCACTCCGCTTTTGTTCCCACCACACCTGCCTGTTGCTTACTGACTGCAAACCCTCCTCCAGCTCTCAGACCTCGGGCCCTTCGCATTGATTACAGCAACTAAGAAACCACAAGTGTGTCTTAAAAGCTGTCCAACTTTGCCATCAAGTGCTTACCTGGATATCTGGTAGCAGAACACAAAATCCTTCTGCTCTCAGGCAGTCAAAAGCCGGTCACCTTGACAACCCCCCCCTGACATTTAATCATAGGAGTGTGTTTCTGTGCTAAGCACTTACTGTGAGTGGCCTCTGTGTCTGCAGTCAGTGGACACGCTGTTCAAATGAAACCAAAGCGTTAGGACTTTCCCTAAAAGCTGTAGTCACCTGCAGGGATCTTTACAAACGATCTTTGTCATGCTTCCCTTTCAAAACACTGCAAGGATGTCATTAATGTTTTCCTTGTATCTTTTCCCAGCAACAAGATGGAGCCGGTTGATAGTGAGACAGTGATCCGAGCGCGAGGCCTCCCATGGCAGTCTTCAGACCAAGACATTGCTCGCTTCTTTAAAGGCCTCAGTATTGCAAAGTATGTCACGCTTGATCGACAAATAGCCCAATTATTTATATCATTTCATTCAAACTTCTTCTGAGCTTTCAACATGTTTGTCAGTGGCCTTTTTTAAAGAACCATTTTAAATGTCAAATTGAATCCTGCAAGATTAGTATAAAATGCCATGTATTTCACTTAAGAGCGCTAATACTTTTCTTACTAGAAAACATCCACAAAACTGACACTTTAGTATGAGAGCTGCTTTAAGGATAATTGGCTCAAATGTGATACATTAAATGTACAATAATAAAACATTATTTTACTTGAATAGGAAATAAATGAATTGTGTACCTGTGCTTTGGAGATTGCATATTGAAAGTTGTAACTCACCTGTGTATCTGCACCTGTGTCAGGGGTGGCGTGGCCTTGTGTCTTAACGCTCAAGGCAGGAGGAACGGCGAGGCCTTAGTTCGTTTCATCAACTCAGAGCACCGGGACTTGGCCTTAGAGCGCCACAAGCACCACATGGGCAGCCGCTACATCGAGGTCAGATTCAGCATTTACTTTTTTTTAAATCTGCAATCTCTCAGATCTTTTAATTGGTTGATGCGAGTCAGTAAAATGTCTTCTAAACTAAATGCTGATTTAAATAACGCCCTTGGTGGCTAAACTCATTTTATTTCCTTTCCAGGTGTACAAGGCCACAGGAGAGGAATTCCTCAAGATTGCTGGAGGTCAGATTTCCCAACCTTTTTTCTTCTTTTTCTCTCTTCCCAGTGTTTGTACGATGACTCGTGCTGAAAGGCTTTCTGTTAGTGTGCGGCGGACTTCTATTTCATGGCTTTCCCGCATCTTTGGAGAAAAACAAGACCACATCTGTAAAAGAGCAGCTCTACCTGTGTGTTTAACTCATCCCAGTGACTCTCCAACAGCTTATCTTAGAATAATGAAAGCGTCTTTGTAAGCAGCTCCCCTCGCTTCCTAACCTCCTCATCCCCTGGCCAACTTCTCAGTGGCCTATGGGAGAGGAACTTCACTCTTGGCTAACAGCAGCTCACCTGTTCAGTTCAGCCCTCAAACTGCCCCCCTCCCCCTCTCCAGACCCCGAGGGAGATACGGCTGCCGCTCTGTGAAAGGACTCGTTCAGTGTTTATACAAAAGGGGTGTGAAGACACAAAAGCTGGGCCCGAGGTCTCTGTACCTCCAGTAACAGAGATAGCAGACAAAACACACCGTCACACAGAGCTGATAACTCGCAGTGGACTTTATTCAGTCGAGTGAAGATCACAAAAGATTGATAGCAGGTTGGACTGGTAAATAGTTCAAGCAGACAAGACGTCTGCGTTTATCAAAAGAAATGAAAGCGGTTCACGGTACATTTGTGGATGAACGTGTAATTCAAAACATTAAGTGTGTCAGGCAACATCAATGCTGTTGTGGAAAATTAAGTTAATGTTGGCTGTTTTTTCATTTTACCTTTTTTACAACATAATGCCAACATTAAATATGGGCTGTAGTCTCCTCGCCTATAGTAGAAAGAACAACCCAATCCACGTAAAATGTAAAAATAATTCTGGCTAGTCATTAAAACTTTGTTTCCGATCACTGATATGTTTTCATCACCGCAATGCTGTTAATTTGTCCTGACATTTGTCCTTTGATTTTTACAATAGTTACAATGCAAACAAAGCCATTTAGCCGAAGCAACACTGGACTGATCCTGGAACTGTTGGCAAACATAATGTTTGTGTATACTTGTGACCTGAGGTCAGCTGGTTTAACGACACTACGCCAGATGGAAATAGAAATAATATCGACGGGTTGTCCGTGAGATAGAACAATGTCTTTGATTCTTTCCTCTTCGATTCTAACTGGGATTTCTCAACAACTACTGGACGCATTGACCATTTGGACCGTCTATGCTAGTGTGTTGATGTTGAAGTCTCGCCAAGAAGCAGATTGAGCTTAGATGCGCACTATAAAATAAGACCCTGATTGTTGATCTTAGCCATGTCGTCCACTTCTGGCGAGGGATGTATTATCTTCAAAGCTTCTCTGGGATGGTCCCAAGATGGCCAGGAGGTTAATCATTGTCCTCTTGACTCTAGGTACATCTAACGAGGTGGCCCAGTTCTTATCCAAAGAGAACCAGGTTATCATCCGTATGAGGGGGCTGCCGTTCACCGCCACGCCCCAGGATGTGCTGTCCTTCCTCGGACCCGAGAGCCCAGTTACAGATGATGCCGAGGGTCTGCTCTTTGTCAAGTACCCTGACGGACGGCCCACCGGCGACGCCTTCGTGCTCTTCTCCTGTGAGGAGTACGCACAGAACGCCCTGAAGAGGCACAAGCAGATCCTGGGGAAACGGTACATCGAGCTGTTTCGCAGCACCGCAGCTGAGGTGCAACAGGTAAATTCTCTTGTTTGGGTGGGAGAAATCTTTGAGATACAAGTTTTCTGCTAGGGAAAACTAAACTAGATGATGTTAATTAAGAAGTACCATCGGTGGTGTTTATGTAACCTGTGAACCTGTCAGGGAATGGTTTAGTTTACAGCTCCCCTTTGTAGGAAGCTTTGCATGTAGGTTTGTTGTGTAATTTTGGATATTTCTGTTTCAAAATAACATTTCTTAAAACGTGGCTTTGGCTTTCGGTTTCAGTCATGAACATGTTCCTTTCACAGTAAATTAGGTACTTTCTAAATGATAATTTAGTCATATATTTATTTTCAATTTTTTACTATGAAAAACTAAACTTTTGTCTAGTCAGGCATTCAAATCAGCGAAATGTGCATATTAAAGCTTCCTATTGACATATTTTCATAATTTGCAGAAAACAAGCCGCAATGACTTTCGATTCACCAACCTTTTCTTCCACGATTTGCCAGGTGCTGAACCGCTATATGTCCGCACCGCTCATCTCCACCCTGCCCCCTTCGCCCATCATGCCTGTGCCGGTCCTCGCATCGCCCCCCTACCTTCCAGCGGCCAGCAGCAGCAGAGACTGCGTCCGCCTGCGCGGCCTGCCCTACACGGCCGGCATCGAGGACATCCTCGAGTTCATGGGAGAGCACACCGTGGACATCAAACCCCACGGGGTCCACATGGTCCTTAACCAACAGGTCAGACTGGTGGCGACTCGTAGTCTGTGAAGCCGCATGTCTCAAAACCATTGGCAGGTGTGTAAATGTTTAATTTATTCTGCACCAGGGTCGGCCCTCTGGCGACGCTTTCATCCAGATGAAGTCCCCTGACAAGTCGTTTATGGTGGCCCAGAAGTGCCATAAAAAGACCATGAAGGACCGCTACGTCGAGGTGTTCCAGTGCTCCACAGAAGAGATGAGCATTGTGCTGATGGGAGGAACCCTGAACCGCAGCGGCCTCTCTCCTCCACCCTGCAAGCTGCCCTGTGAGTGCACAGCAAATGGTTCATCGAGCCATCAATTTTTTTTAGTATTTGTGACAATGTTAGGAATATTGTTTTCATGTAATACATATTTCTTGGGACACATGAATTTAGAAATGCTGCATAACCTGGCAGCGGACCTATTTTATACCTTCATACCGCCACTGACCTCCAATCAACACAGTTCAAGCAAACTTAATTCTCCTTTCAAATCCTCGATATCTGTAGTCATACTACGTCTTCCTTTGAAACAATGATTCCATTTGAGGCTGGACTGAATGAAACTGTCCCTGGTGTTTGAGATTAGATTAGCATTGTCAGTCACAAGTGAGTATTTTCCGTGTGTTTCGTTCCTCGGTTCTTTACCTCAGATGAATACTGGATTTTGCGTTTCACAGTTTTTGAATATCGTTTCAACCGGACTAACCTGGAGGCCCCTGAGCCCCCATGGCGTTGTGTTTTGTCACTGTGTTGAGGTCGACCACAGCCTCGCACTTGATAGTGGCTGTTTGTATGTAAACACGCCCGTACCGGCATTTCAGTGTGTTTACTTTGTAGGTTTGACAGCCTGAAGGACACAGTTGACTGTCGAGGAAGAGAACGCGGTTTGTTTGAAGCCTGTTGAAATCCCCATGCGGCGGGTCGTAACCGAGCGTTTACTTCCTCGTGTTGCACCTTGTGACCGGCCGGCTGTGTGCGTGCAGCGGTCGCAGCATGTAAATGACCGCACTGTGTTTCTTTGTTTCTGTAGGTCTATCTCCCCCCACAGCCTACGCCGCCTTCCCCACCCCGCCTTCCATGCTCTCTGAGGCTGCCCTCTACCAGCCCCCCCTGCTGGCTGCCCCCAGACCCCATCAGACCGTCGCACACAGCCCAGCTCACGCTCTGGCCTACTACCCCCCTCAGCCACACATGTACATGAATATGAACATGAACTACACCGCCTACTATCCCAGGTTAGTACGTTGACTACTAAGTGATTTTTACCTTCTGCTCTTCTTTTAAATCTCCTTAAACTTTCTCTCTCTCTCCTTCCAGCCCTCCAGTCTCTCCTTCCACCGTTGGGTACTTTGCCGCCCCGCCGGGGTCGGTGGCAGCAGCGGTAGCAGCCCAATCCCATCCCGCTGCGGGCGCCGCGTCCTCTGGGCTGCCTCAACACGGCGCGCTGGTCAGGATGCAGGGCCTGCCCTACAACACCGGAGTCAAGGACATTCTAAGCTTCTTCCAGGGATACCAGGTCAGCACACCTTGCACTGAATTAGGTCTTTGTTTGGCTGTAAGGCCCAATGTAGTGTGGTGTTGAAGTGTTCCTACACAATAAGTGTTTGTTTTAGCTTTATCTTGTCGATTTTGGGAACTCTTCCCTCAGCCTGCAACCCCAGATGTTAAAGCCTCGAGCTGTTAGAAAGATGAACCCGCTGCCATTGGTACTTTTAATTGCTTTTTACTCAACACATGTCAATGAGACATGAGTGCACTTGTGCTTTCCTCCCTTCACTGTGCCGCCCATATTTCTCTCTGGTGGCCAAAAAAATAAGGTGGAGTCCTCTGAAGCAGGTATGAACCTTGACTGGTGTGGCTTCAGATTGTTTGGGAGGAAGGGGGGGTTGTGTGTCTAAAAGCCTTACTTTTAAGAGTAACAAGCATTTAATCCACACCAAATTAGAACTTCTCTCCATGGTAAAGACTTGTGGGTGTGTTGCATTTGGCTGGAAGGAGTTCTTAGTCAAACAAGCAATGCTCCAATTATAAGCATCAACTCTGTACAGCTGGGAGGCAACAGGTGGTTTAAAAAAGAGTAGAGTAGGTGCTGTACTGACCTTGAGCTTTCTGTATGAAAAACAAAAAAACGTGTAATGGGTAACACCAGTTTATTAGCTGATAAAAAATGTCCTCCCCCTGGATGTGCGTGTAACGTGTGAAGCTGACTCCTGACTGTTGGCTGAACTGTTGTACCCTTAACCGAGAGAATGTGTTGCTTTCTGGCTGCAGTAGCGTCTCTCAAACTGGTCCTGGGTGAGAAAACGGTTCCCACACATGTACTCGTGTCCTTTACCAGACAATCCTGTGCTTAATCACATTTTGGTTCAAATGTAACCCGTCGAGCCAGAATTTGATCGGTGTTTCCTTTTAAAGTATTTTGTGTGTGTGTATAGTGTAATACCCTTTTCATCTCATGTGTCTCTTAAGCTGTGTACTGTGTGACACAATGGAGGCCTCCCACCCTGACTGTCCGTTCATTATTATGCTATCTGTAGTACGCCCCTGACGAGTACAGCGGCATGGTTCAGATGAGCGAACAGGCCAGGAGTCTGATTCAGCCCAAAGAATGGCTCTGTCTGTAGGGACTCACCCCAAGGTAAGAGGAGCCTCCAGACCAGAGAACCAGCGTGGAAAGAGGGGGCATTTCCTGTTCAAGAACATCCATTTGTTTACACTTAAGCAGCAATGGACGAGCATCAAACTACCCATTAAGGGTTACCGTATATTTTAACTATCTAGGCTTGGTTAAAATATACAGGGTATACTCCGCATATTACCAAACCAGTGCTTTCTGTGAGTTTGAAAACATTAGAAAACTCAGAGGTGGCGTTTTATGATTAATTGGTTAAAATATGCACACTTTGTGCGACATGAACTCTGATGTGAGTTTTTACCTTGAAAACCAATCGCTATACGTGAGCCAGGTTACACATTTGTACCAGTGTGAACAGGAATGCCCAATCTATCCACCAGGTTCTGAGCTCCTGACCCGGCATGTTGACCCGCTGCTTCCCAAACCAATCTGCCTCGTGACGGAGGTCTCTCCTGTCGGTCCGTTGGAGTGCCGAGTCCTGAGAATGTATGAAATATTAGGGAAATGTAATCGGGAACTTTACCATATGTGATTTCACATGACCCGAAAGGAGGAATTAAACCATTAAATCACTCTGGTTTCACGTTTTGGATCAAAGTCCTGCAGGAATGTGGAACTAGCATTCTTCTTTCCCAGTTTGTAAGTGTATTAATTCTCCCTATTAGGCTTCTCAATACTGATAATCTGTTATTTTACGGCTCTTTGTGTTAAGATAAAATATAACTACTCCTCACTTTTAACTAATATATAGAGCAAGCTCACCCAACTGGACAGAGACGGTTGAGATTCTGTCTTGCTCTGAATCGTTTAACAAAAGGATTTATTTAAGGTCACTGGTAATGTATAAATTGTTAGTCAGTCTTGACTCGGCACTCGTCCTGCACCCCATCAAAGTGGATTCTGGAGCAGGTCCCACCTCACTACCTCGACTCTTTTTCAGTGACTGCGTCGTCCCGCTGACATCGTCTCCCTCGCTCCTGCTTTTATGTCCTTTTGGACTTAATGGGTCTCACTGCCGTCATTGCTAATATGATCAGTGAACTGGTCATATCTGCATGTCAAAAGGAAACTTGATTTACCTTTTTTGGGGGGGCATCAAACTTTTTATTTTTATTTTGCAAACAACAAACTTGATTTGGGTGCAAGGCCGCATGCTGACTAACCCGATGATTACTGCCGTGTGGGTTTTAGGTCCTCTGGGAACGGCATGTGCTCTGCTTTTGCTCTTTAAGCTCTACCCATTAATCAGTTTTTTTTTTTTTTTTTCCTTTCTTCTCTAACTGAACCGGTTTGTTGAAATGATCTTTTTAAAGGGCATTGTTCCTCCTCTGCTTTGTGGACTCCCCCTGGCGTTTTCACAACGCAGCTGCATCAACGCAAGTTACACTTATTTATTTATTAATTTATTTCTGCAGCTCCAGCCAGACGCCGTTCTCATCTTGTACAACTTCAGCGGCCAGTGCAGCGGCGAGGCCTTGATCACCTTCCATAGTGAGGAAATCGCCAGGCGGGCCGTAGCCGAGCGCTCCACCCAACCCTTCTACGGCCAGCAGGTCCACATGGTCCTATGTAACTGACCGAAAGCTCTTCCTCTCTTTCCTCCACCCCGTAATTTAAGCTCACTTTGAGGTGCGCTCTCCTCGAAAGTGCCTCCAACTGCTTTTCCACTTGATCCCTGTGCCACTTAAAACATCTGTTGAACCTGTGCGATTATTAACAGAAAACTGACACTGCTGGCTGCAACGTTCCTGAAGCTGCTCTTTGAGTTTGGACATCCACTGGTGAAGCAGCTGAAGTTGTTTAAGCTTAACGTTGGGTTCATGACCCTGTGGATGTGACGCGCAGCACTTCTGTGTGTGTGTGTGTGTGCCTGCTGTAATAGTTGGTTAGACGGTGTAGGGCCTGGACATGTATATTTAAATGCTTTATGTGTCCCCCTATCCCCCTGTACAGATGTTTGTCCTGAAATGCTTGAGGCTGTACAAACTACTTCTGCACACAATCTTTTTTTTTTTTTTTTTTTTTCCTGAATCGTCACTCTTAACCACTAGATTTTGACTTTTCAGAGTTCATGATCTTTTTGTGTTACCTCTATGCAAACACAGATGCGTGTATGTGCATGCGCAATGATTTAAGTTGAGGGTCACCAAAGGTTCAGTTAATGAGAGAAAGAAGCCATATAAAGACCGACCGTACTTCTCAACTGTCATGCATTCATTTGAACTGAGCCTCAGTGTTTATTTAAAACTACAGCAACCCTCAGATGTGTACAAACTACTTTTGGTGTGTAAAAAGCATTTATGTGTGACATACTGCATGTGATCCTATTTAGATATTTTCTAAGCACTACAAATTTATTTGTTCAAAAGAGCGACAGAGTGTCTTAAACAGAGTAGTAGGACAAGATTCTATTTTTATTAATCCCATTTCTGTACAATGTTTTCGGAGATGATGTTATGAAACTTAAGGACAAAGTCATATCTTCAAGCCTTTTCTAATGATTGCTGCAGCCATTAGATCTTTTCTGTTTTGGTGTCCAGGCTACGATCAGTCTATAGCTGCTTTAATTCCTGCTTATGACCAGAATACTGTGTAAAAGCTGCATGAGTTTTTCTTGTGACAGGGCTGCTGACAGCTGTCTTAGTTTGTTCCATCCTTTGCTGTGCCTACATTACCCAGAGTGCAATACTGGCCCGGACACTGCTCGGCCAACCTCTGGTGGCAGAGGAGATATTTGTTTCTTTTGTTGCAAGTTTGACACTTGTATGAATTTAGATGTGTGTTAAGACCAAACAATAAATAATGTTGACTATGGTCCATGTTTCATTTGTTCTCATTTAAAAAGTATAAGATCGTAAACGTTGCCCATTTAGAAAAATGAATGCAGAATATGACCGTGGAAGTAAACAAATGTACAAAACATTAAATTGAATGAAATGTGCTCAATTAAAATTTTAGAGCATTAATTTAATAGCAAACTAGTTGCTAGGCAATGAGAAAATAGAAAAGGAACTGAAAATACACCTATACTGAATTTGTACTTTTCATTTTAATGCACATACTTTTGGAATGTTACTCAAGTAGATATTTAGATTCTTTCATTTAGACACAATCTTCTCACTACTTTTATGTATTGTTTTTATGTTGATGCATGTACCACACCTATTGTGTTCATTGCAAGGAAACCGCAGTTGATTCAAGTTTGATCATGATTGCTTTGGCTGTCCTGTAAAAACTGGTACAAAGCGCCCAGCTTCAAGCCGTGTTAACACATTGAAAAGATCCTGTCCCTTTAGTAGGATATCCCAGAAAATCTATTAAATACCAACGGGACATCTGTGACCATGTTATATTAATTACGTGTCAATATTTTATTTAACAAAATCAAAAGACATTTGGGTTATAAAAAAAAGTGTGATTTTGTTATGAGAAAGCTTTCGTGCAATTTGTGTATATCCTCATAATGAAAGGCAACATTGGGCACACATCACACCGCAAATGTGGTGCGTTATGTGCCCATCAACTTGCTGCTTCCTCATTCTGCTTGAAAACGTCTAGCATGTCTCAACAGTCAGCGATGTTTTCTCGTGTTTCTGTCTTAAGGGTTGTTTTTTTTGTCCCACCCATTGCCTTCAGCATTTTTCCACTGCCTCAGTTGACTCACTGGTATTCAAAAGATTCACCAATACCCAAAAGCTCCACTGTCACAGCAGGTTTTTTCAACCCTCAGTTCATGTATCTTAATGAATCATCTCACAGAATGTGACACACAATTCACACCCAGTGGGAGAATCTTTAGTAAAGCATCTTAATCCTTAGAACTGTTTCTACCAACACGTGGCATTTGTCGTTTATTTCAACATGTACATCCTGGTGAGCCTGGGTAAAATAAATGTTGGACGTCGGGTACAAAGTCAATTGTACTATTGTGTAAAATAAATGTTGTTCCTTCCAGTGTAACTGCTGCGGCTGGTATTCGGTAAACAGGTTAGACATCCTGCTTGAGGCGTATGAGGCCTGGCAGCACTGAAAATCACTATCTGGTCCTTACTATTTAACATATTAACAGACACAGTGGGAATTAAAGTAAGCTATACTTTTGACACCATGCTGAAATGGTGTCATAAACTCTATAATTAAAAACACTGTGCGTCACTGCACTTAATGACAGCACGCGTCAACAGATATATATATATGTATATATATATATATATATATCAGATATATTATATACAATGATAAGAGTATCCTTTTTTTACAGCAAAGGTTTCTCAGTTCTATAAGCTTGTGACCAACTTGAGACATGATTCCGCTTTTTACTTCCTAACAACGGCAACATGCAGCTTTTTATTTTGCAATCTTTACACCCAGAGGAAGTCGAAAGCATGAACTTTGTTTTTAGCGTAATGGGGACAATTTCGTCATGAGTGAAAAGGTCTTGTCGATGTCGGTGTGCATTTTGTGATTGAGAAATACCCATTTAGTATGTTGGCATATCAAACATTTATTTTTCCATATGGCACTTATATAACATAGAAGTACATAATATATGTCAGATTTATAAATATATGGTAACCATTAAAAAACAAACATCTCTTTTTAAAAAGAACATTTCAATTAGGTAATTTACAGAGTTGGCATGTATTACACAGATTATCTCTTAATTCTTGTTTTTCTGTGTTGTAATTTCAGACAAAATTCTTTTAAAAAACCTTAACACTGTACACATGAATATCTACACACAGCACAGGCATGTCGTAGCATTTCAATATCAGGATGGATTATTTTCGCACATTTTTATTAATATGTCCATTTGAACCTTTGACTCCGACACACACTGAGAACTGTTGGTCTGATTGCTCTGTCTCTTGGACACGAAGGACAACTCTTTATTGCCCTCACCTGGGGAGGTGCTGGAGATGTGGCGGAAGAGCTTTTGGATGCCGGTGTCCCGCAGGGAGCTCCTGAAGGAGCGAGCCGCGAACATGTACAGGATGGGGTTGACGGTGCTGCTGATGAAGACCATGGCCCCGGCGATGAAGGTCACGGTGTCCCTGGCGCTCTCCAGGTTCTCCGCTGCGGCAGGGAGGTGGTCTTCACAGGCCAGGATGATGAGCGAGAGGACGTTTACTATGTGATGAGGCGTCCAACAGACGGCGAACACGACCACCACGCTGGCGATGAGAACTGTGGACTTGCGCTTCGACTTGAAGGTCATCTTCGTGATCCGGCTGCACAGGCAACCGTAGCAGACCACCAGGATGAAGAAGGGTAATACGTAGCCCACCAGGGTCTCCAGCAGCATGCACACCAGCTCCTGGGTCGGCGAACTGTACTGGCGGTACAGGCAGTGCTCCTCGCCGGAATCCGCCCCTACCACCTGCGTTGGGATGACGGGTATGCTGAACAAGAAGGCTGCCGTCCACAGAGCCAGCAGAACCTTATTCAGAGCTCTTTTCCTCTTCCAGCCGGCCGATACGAAGGGGTACCGCACGGCAACGAAGCGCTCCACGCTCATGAGGGTAATGAGGAAGACGCTGCTGTACATGCAGGTGTTGATCATGAAGACCATGGCTTTGCAGGCGGCCTCTCCGAACAGCCAGAAGTGGGCCAGGGAGTAGATCCACAGAGGCAGGGTGATGAGGACCAGCAGGTCGGCCACGGCCAGGTGCAGGATGACCACCACCGTGTGGGAACGCTGCTTGACGTGCTTCAGGATAGTCCAGATCACCAGGAGGTTCCCCGGAGCTCCCACCAGGAAGGACAGGGCCAGGATCACACAAGCCACTGCTGTCCCGCCGTCAAACTCCTCAGAGGACATTTCCTCCGCAGAAGACAGCTCGGTGGAGTCGTTCATGCCGCGAATTGGACGTGCCGACGGTGGCGTCTGCATGAAAAAGAAAATAACAAAGTGCTGTACAGGCAAGTGTTCACTTTCCTTACTGGATTATTTGAACAGGGCCATTTGAGAGTCACGGGACAGATAACCACCCAGAGGTGTCAGTTTTGCTTTGAGTGATCTGGAAGTAAAGTCAGTTTACCAGCTATTGTTTCACAGTGCACACATGGGCGGGCTCACAGGGGCGAGGCCGCGCAGAAATAGTATCTCGAAATTTATTGCAGGTATTGTATCAGTCATATTTTGTAAAATGATTTAAACATCTCTGATTTATTTGCGAAACCACCGACCAGTGACACAACTTTTTATTTTGTTACGCACCTTCAACAACCCCAGACACACACACACAAACCCAGCATGCAAAACTGCGGATACCACTGATGTTCTCGTCCCATCGTATGTTCTGTTCATTTCTACAACATAGCTCACACTAATTCTACTCTGCTCTTTATTGTGTGGTCTTTCTCTGCTGGCATTCATTCCTCAAGCCTCTGTGGCTATAAATATAACCAGAGTGAAGCATATTCATATAATATAATAAAATGTACCAACCTTGGAGTGTTACAATAGCCAGTATAATTATATTCCATGTGTCCACTCGGGCAGATTGCTGGATCCAAATGTTATGAAAACATATACAATATCATTTATTTGTAATCATGCAAAATTAAGTCCATGGGTATTTCTCCAAGTAGGCCACTGACCGGTCGATAGGTGGAATGCGTTAAGTGGGCAACGCGCCGTGTATTTAGTGCACCTTTTCCGCCCCTGAGTACACAGATGATCTGTTCTCCAGGACCTTTGGTTTCTGTTATCAGAAAGTTTTAATTGCCACAGAATCATTAACTTTAATTGCTGTCTTGCAGTCAAAACCAAACTCTTTTGTATATTTCTTTTGTCCAATCACTGACTAAACCTTCCTTTACGGCTAATATAATTTCCACACATTAACTTTGAACTCCATATTGCACGAATGGCAACCATTTGTATCATTACCGTGCATTTTCACAGATAGTCAGATTTAATTCTGTGTGGAATAAAGCATCTAAACACAACGGCCTGCTCTATTGTTTTTAACTTTCACTTATACCTTGTATCGTATATGATGCTCAAGTAGGTCTAATTTGGTAAAAGGTTCTTTCAATTAACGTATTTCTAATTTGAAGATCACCGCAGTAGTTCCGTCGGCACCGGTGTGAAATCATTGAACAGGACATTTATTTGACGCTTGAGCAGTGGCGGCTGGTGGATTATTTTTTTTGGTAGGGCCAGCCAATCAGTTTCAGTATCAGTATATCATTAATATAATGAATTGCATTATGCATTATTATGATTTTACAAATGGATTGAATGAACAGGTTCCTATACGTTTCTAGCGTTTCTAGCCAAAGAGTTGAGATATACAAACTGATCTAAAATGCCATACTGTGGAGTTGTGGCAATATCCATAAGATCAGGGAATAAGGGGAAGTCATTTACTTAAAAGACTTTGAAAAAAAACAGGAACTAGATAAATAATGGGACACTTCAAATTTTAGGTAATCATCCAACTACTTTCGCTATCACTTTAAGATACCACAAAGTGTAAAACGTCTGTGTTTTATGTGCGTCAGAAGGAAACAGAAATTATGGAAGATGGTGAAAGATTAGGTGTAACAGGAACTTTACCCAAGAGCGTCTAATCTGACAAACTGGAATTCATGTCTTGAAGACGGCAGTAAAACTGTTGAAACTGATAAACTTCATAGGAGAAGATGTTTCCTCTCAAGCAGCTGCCATTAAAAGATTAGCAGAACAAGCACAACACCAGCATTAGAGATGGAAGAAGGAATTCCATTAGTATGAATGAATGAATAATTCAAATCCCAATACACACCCCGAACCAGTTAGTGGCGATAATGCGCCATGACGGGTTTAGCCAGTTGCCATAAAGTACGAAGAAGAAGAAAAAGAAGGAGCAGCAGAAGAAGAACAACGCTCCTCAGCCAACTAGATTAAATAAACATGACGATGTTGACAGCGACGGTGTCTTTGGTGCATTGGCACTAAACGTAAACCACTTACCTACAACGAGGGTCGTTGGATATTGTGTAAATCTACATTTGTGACAAACTGTGAGTGACGATTTAACGTAATACAAGCTTATTGTTTATAGCTATTTTGTGGCAAGCAGCGTTGTTAGGATGAGCTAGCGAATAAGCTAGTATGAGCTAACGTTTGCCGTGTAAATAACGTTAGCTAACATTAGGGGCGTGAACGCGTATTATTCTGTCGGGTAACGTAACGTTATATATCTTCAAGTAATGTTGCACAACCGGTTGGATCCCTGGTCGCGTGTTTCAGGTTATTTTGGCTTTTTTGACCACTTACATTTTCATAATGGTCCAAATGAGGAGTAATTTGCCCCCTTTCTAGCTAAGTGTAGCGAGCTAACGTGCTAGCCTTGCTTTAGAAGTGAGAGTACGTTAACCAGCACCGTGGTTCCAAACCTCTTTGGTTTGAAGGCGCTATGCTTCCTCCACAGCCCTGTCAGATTAACTTAACTCGCGCAACGTTACCAATAAATCAATGTCCACCGTTTGTACCTACTGCCACGCCATCTGATGGAAGTGGCTAGTGTGCATCAATCACGTCATATGTAGTACGTTCAGCTAATACTTAATAATAAAAAAAAACATTGCTGTCACAATTGCCGCCTTTCAAACAACCAGGCGATTATTTCAATCATCTAACCATATTGCTGTAAACTAGCTAGCATAGGCTAACACTTGAATATGTTTCCACTACCAAGGCCCAGCGTTAGCTAACCCACTTCCGCCCTCGCAGGTCGTGTCTTTGGCTCGGGACAGACCCCATAATCACACGTTGAGAATCGGACCATCGCCACTGCAATGCCTCTGCTTTTTTTGGAGAGGTTTCCTTGGCCCAGCTTGCAGACCTACACCGCACTTAGCGTGGCTTTGCTCGCAGGCACCCTTTTTAGTGCCTACAACACTGTGACTGATCCTGGCTTCGGGGTCTTGGAATCTGATGAAACGCCAGCGCCAACTGAAGGGGATCTCGAACTAAACAATGATATTATTAACACGGAATTGACTACCACTATCCTGTGGTATATTGCCACTGACAGTCTCTTCGTATGGGTGAGTGTCAGCCGGTTTGAAATTTGCATTGCCTGATGATTGTATGTTCTGCTGAGAGCTCATCGTCTCTTTATTCCCTGTTTTCCTTTAGGTATTGGTCAACACATTCTGCTGCTTGTTGATGTTAATTGCGAAAATGATTCAGTATGTAGTGTTTGGCCCGCTCAGAGTTAGTGAGAAGCAGGTGAGTGTGCGTCTTTAACAATGAATTCAACCCTTCTCAAGCCTGTATATCGCTGCTCTTTGTAAGGGTCGATCTTTTGGAAACAAATGTATCCGGTTTGCTCTGTGTGTTCCTCAGCACCTGAAAGATAAATTCTGGAATTTCATCTTCTACAAGTTCATTTTCATCTTTGGGGTGTTGAACGTGCAGACAGTGGAGGAGGTGGTCATGTGGTGTTTGTGGTTCTCTGCCCTGGTCTTTCTCCACCTCATGGTGCAGCTCTGCAAAGACCGATTTGAATATGTAAGTATTATACAGGCATGAAAATCCCTCACCTTTCGGCGAAATTCGCCGTTTTGAAACCAAAATAGGTGACCTACGTGAATCGTGTAGATTCAATGAGGTTTTTTTGGGGGGGGTGGGGGTATTCATATACAGTGAGGTGCGCGTGTCAGAAGGGAGCGCGAGATTCAGTGAATTGCGAGCCGGTTGAGTGATGGTTTCAATCATTTTAATATTTTCTGGTTAATCTAAGTTAAGTTACCCAGGAGCTTTGTTAACATCGACTTAGCTAACGTTAGCTACAGCTTGATGAATTGAGTCATTTAACACAGCGACGTTGGCCAGCTAGCTAAAGCTCCGGTGGGAAATGATTAGCTAACGCGACGGTTTTTGAGGAGGTAGATTTTGAGGTGAGGGGACTGACGAGGCAGAAGGTAAAGTGGTCCACCGTTTTGACTTCTAAGTACGCTGGTACGATTTGTCACTATGCAAAAATGTGTCTAAAATTAATTTTAGACTAGTTGACCAGCACACATTATATGCAATGTAATATAATGCATGACGAGTATCTAATGACTTGTCCCCTATTATTTGTTGTCAATTCCCCCCCCCCCCCCCCCGTCAGTAACCAAAAAATGATTCCTGGGACCAAACCCATTGAAAACCCCTAGAAGGGAAAAACTCATCTTATCTTTTTCACCCTTGGACGATCTTCATGCACGATAACAAACCACCCGCTTTTTATTTTGGTTAACCCGAGTCATAAGTGAAGAAGAGCGTTGGATCTTTACCCTGAGATCACCTATTACCCCACCCAGGTGCACTGAAATCACCACATCTGCGATAATTGTGGCACACAATTCAAAGACACGGGCAGTCTGGAAATAATAAGACCAAATTGTCCTGAAAATAAACAAGCTTGGGGTCTTTCCTATGGAAGACCACCATCTCCTAATAAAAGGT